CAATTTTAAACGCTTAAATAATGTTATTTTTTTTTTCGGTTAAAATACAAAATTAACAACAGACTGTACAATCTGTGGATCCAAGAATCCACCATTATTAACCAAGTATTTATGGTACATATTTTTTGTTCTCGTAGCTTAATAGCAATTTTAATATTAACTCATTAGTCTCTTATCGAACCTTTGTACAGTACAAGTTTTTCATGGTGTATTTTATTAATGCAATTTTATTGCACGGCTAAATATACAACTTAATTAACACGGGCGAGGTCAACGAGGCCTTGGCGTGGCCTAATGCTCGAGTTTACCCTTAATGTAGTTAAGAGCCACCGGAAATTAGTTGCCGTAATTGCCCTCGGCGATGGTCTTGGTTTTAATACAATTAGCAATTATATTTATGTTATTTAACCTAACCTAGTCCAACTAATGTAATGTTGATACTTCTCTACAGGCAAACTCAAGTTCTGTCGCCCCCAAATTGTTTATAAAAGAATTATTTTTTATAACTAATATTTGTTTATACAAAAAAAAAAAAAATAAACAAATTCTGTGTACATTATATTTATTAATAAATAGTGTACAATTGGTTAGATATTTAGTACCTATAAATACATATTTTATAGACTGGTAGACTTCACATAAGTATGTATTCGTAAAAACAAAATTTTAAAATAGTTGTAATGACAAAACAAAGCAATAAAAAACATAATAATAAAAATTAACTTTTCGTGTTTTTTTGCAAAATGAGATATAACTTCATCTAGGTGCATAATAACTCCCAATTCCTTCTCGATTGAGATCATTGCAAAACCTACTGAATGATCTTGTGACATTTATGACCGTAGATAATTTTTAATTATTTTCAATTTTTTAAAGCCTCTTTCCGCTGTCACAGGAAGTGTTAAGCAAATTCTTTAAGCGATAAAAGTAATGGGAAACAGTTCAACTAACTGGGTTTTGCAAATATATCCTAAACAAAATTGTGGATTTGTTTCTGTAGCACTGAATCATCGTGTAATTCGACTACATTAATGTCAGAATTTAAACCGTCGTCGGATGTAAGTGAAAGTTGTAGATCTTTTCAATGAGTCATAAGTTCGACAGCATTTTGTATTTTAGAAATGTTATAAAGATATAAAAACAAGTTTGCATGCTCAGAAAGATACTAAAAATATTATGTAAAGACAGACGTAGAGTGTTGAAAATATTTTATTGGTAACTACATTAAACAATTATTAGAAGTTTCTTTTTGAATATTTGTCTGAATAAAAAAACCCAATTTTACTAATTATTTTAATTTTTTAATAACTATTTGACTTTTTATTAAAATAATTCATAACAAATTAATTTAAACAAAAATTATAATTTGGTTTTTGTTAAATTAGAAACAAAAACGTTTCTCTACCTTTTCAAATTTGAATTTTTTATTAAAACATCAAATATTTTTTAAAATTAAAATCATTTTAATAATTGGAAGACACATAGGAAGAAGGGTAGAAGTCCATTTTTTCAATTTTGAGATAATGACACTATTTAATGGTACATTGGGCTAGTATTAAATGTTGAAATCCATTTGATGTAAAAGAGGTAATAGTGGGGCCAACTTAGCGCTATAAAACGGTTGACATATAGATTTATAAGCGCAAACTAACTTTGTTTTTTGCTGACAAATTGTCATAATTGGACTACTACTCTTCTTTCCCTATGCCCTTCAATTTTAGATTGAGAAATTGATTATTTAATTTTTTTTTAGTTGCTACAGATCTAATTTAATGCCTTTGACTAGATATACATGTCAAACTTAATGATATTATCAATACAAGAGTGTAGTTGTTGTTAATATAATCAATTTAAGTAATAATTTTAACACGTCATGCACAACTTTTATATCGATTTAAAAATAGCCCATTGTGATTACGATATATTATGTTCGTGACGAAATTAACAATAGCTGTGTTGAGGAAATTAAAAAAAAAAAATTAGCTACTAATAATATTAAGTATACTAATAATAACGAGTAGTTATAACCCGTCAAGTTCATCTTGAGACCGCTGTGACGTCACAACTCACAAGTGAAAAGTCAGGGGTTCTAAAACTCGGTGTAAATCTTACATGTAAATTAAGCAACTTTATTGTTAATTATACATTGTGCTTGTGTTCAAGTTTTTTAAATATTTTTTTTACACGCGAAATAAATAAAATTTGTAAAATAATAACAATTTTGTGTTAGTAGTTCCTTGCTGACCTCTGGTAATTTGAAAACCTAACGGTCGTTCCAGCTAAAGATTAACTGGATGCACCTACTGATTACTGGTTATACCTACTTAAATAACATAATATGCAATACACAATACACTGTGATCGGCTTTGGTCATCTGGACTTCTGGAAATCTGTCTGCTATAAATTTTGGCTCCTGGCTAATCATGTAGTTCAAACCTCACCACTATACGTTAACGATGCTATAAATTATATCAGTCAGATGGCCTTGCTTTTCTTTAACTACACATTGTATACTATAGAAGTTGCTGGCACGAAGAAAGTAAAAAAAAAATAATAATAATAAATTCAAACCTTAGATACAAAAGGCTAGTACCTAGTATATGTAAAACATACCTATGGCAGCATTACTTCTTTACAAGAGGCGTGTCGACAATAAGTAGCCCGTTGGGGTTACATTCATATAAATTATTGTGTATTGACAATACTACTGTAATATATATTACTAATTAATTTCCTGTTTACGCACAAAGGTTTTTGAAACTATATTAAAATAATAATCATTGTTAACCATACTGAGCACGTTATTAAATAGGTACGCACCTGCTAAGCGTGTTACTTACGTAATCAAAAGTTGGATCGAAAAAACAAAAACAATTTTTAAAAATTCTTTTTTTTATTATTATAAATAAAAAACGCTGAAAACTAAAAGAATTGACATATTAACGGGTTTCAAAAGGTTACTGGATGGTAACCAAAGTGCTATAGTTAGTATGCGGCCATGGTAATCACGACTTATAACCCGATAGGTCGAATTTAAACAGTAACCATAATGGTCACCTATACATAATATTATGTACCCGGTATCTAGTAAAATCCATTTGATTTCACGTCTAAGATCCTGTCGTTTTGAAGTAATTAAATAATTCAAAACAGTACCTCACAAAATAATGAACCTAGATTAGTAAACATTTTTTTCTCTAAATCAGGTAGACTACAAGTTTTAGAATAGAATGGGTTTAAAAATAGTTAAAAAATTCGAATGACAAAAAACGGAACTTGGTTAGTATTGTAGTGTCTTTAGTTACTACTAACCAATAAAGCTGGACCCTTTTGACCTGATAAGTGATATAATTTTGTTCTCCATTAACAATTAACATTCTTATCACTATTCATTCTCTTATCAGCCGGTTTGCTCTTATCAATTTGCGTTCTTATCACATCCTATCTCTTATGACGCCGTATTGCTTTTTCGGGGTTAAAATCGAAAAAACATGTTCTATATTAAATCCCAGTTTGGCTTACTAAAGAGCTTAGGATCTAAATCTAAGTAAACTTTGTTGTGTTTGAAGTAACTGTAATACTTAAGCTGTAAAACATGATACATTAAATGTTTTTAATGTTTGTTAATGCATTAAAACCTACTTTATTTAAACATAATTTTTTCGTTGCCAATCTATAAGTAATAAATAAATTAAATTATGTTTTAAATGACGATTAAAATCAACTAAATATTTATAAGTACATTTATCATTTGACCTATCTCACATAGCTTATGTTGCAGGCTATTAAATAGAGAAAAAGAACAGACAATTTTAATAGTATGGCTATTTAATTGTATGAATAATAAAATTGGGGTACTGAGTTAATTTAACATAAGACAATAGTTTTTGATAATAAATACAATTGTATGTATACTCGTATATATATATATTTTTTTTGGTAACTTGCTGTACCACTTTTATAATACATTTACCTAACTATTAAAATGTTAAACGTCAATTTACATATTATACTTGAAATTCTTATTAAACTATGAATCATTAACTTCGAGTGAATAATAATTTTGTTAAATAACCAGTTTCGAATAGCGACTGGTCAAGTTAATTATATTAAAGTAAAGGTGAGAACTACTACTAATAAATCGTTATAGTTTTATTCAGTTACCTGTTTCGAAAAACAACATTACCTAATTATTATAAATTCCAAAACAAAATAAATTGTGGACATTTTTCCATTAAAATTTTCATTTAATAAAATGTATTTTAATTTAAATGAAAAATGTAAAACATTAAAGACGTGGTAAATCTAATTAATTCCAAATTAGCTATAAGTTAATTTAACGTCATACTAGTATAAATTAGTTATGCGCTCAACATTGTTGATTGGGTTCTAAGAACAAAAAATAAAAAATAGGAAGCTCGGTAAGGTTAAATTATGTAGATTCAGGAACTGTATTAAAATATTGTAAGACAATATAAATTCATAAATTTTTAAATAAATAACTACACAGTTAAAGTTATTCTAAAGAAAAAAACGGTGATCTTCCTATTTAAATTTATATTCTGGCAACACTTATAGTATGTATAAGGTAAACAATTGTATGTAAATGTTAGAATGTATACACAGCTTAAAAAAATATCATTTCGAAAAATGTTTTAAACAAATTTATCTAAGATTAATTTTTTATTAAATAAATACTACACAACATATATTTTATTTACCGAGTTAAGAATATTTGTCTACACTCTATAAACACATTATTAGTCAAATTATCTATCAATGGTTATCAATTTTATTTAAATTTTTCGAAATCTGTTTTTAAGGTCGACTGTACCGTTTGGTACAGTTAAATTTGTAGAATTATACTAAAATTTATCAGATATCAATTAAATATTTTAGGACACGCCTTAACGGAAAAATATATCTTATTTAATATACTATTTGAAATATTATTTAAAGATGCTTTTTAATTGTTATTAATTATTATCTTTATTTTCAGATGGCGAGGGAGTGTCTATAAATTAGTATGGCGAGAGTTGGCAGCATATTTTTTTGTATACTTTGCCATAAACCTAGCTTACAGGTTTGCGTTCACTGAAACGCAACAAAAGTATGTGTTAACACGATTATATTAGTTAATAATAATAATTATGCATGCAGACGAAGTATTAGTATTTAGATGTTATGAACTAAAAGAGCTCATCAAAAAAAAAACCCAGGGTTGGTCTGGGCCCTGGGGCATTTGAGTAGTTTCCGAGTCAGAGGTGATCCACTGGTCTAGAAATAATAATACATTTAGTTTAATAAAAAAATGTTTAATGGGTTTAAAAGTAAGGAAGTCACTCACAATGGCAATGGTCTACTGTATTATTATTATTGATCTAGTCAGTAGTCTAGTGCTGATAGAAAAAAAACACATACAACCGTTGATGGCCAACAACTACCGAATTGATAAAAAGAAATCTTACCGATTTAGTTGGAATAACAATTAGTATAATTACATAGCCGTACACCTAAACGGAAGACCGTTCAATGTCAATAATTTGGACATACCTCACTGTATTCATAGTTCTGCGTTCAAAAAATATTTAAACTGAGTTCAACGTATAATTATTATAGTTCAACGTTTTGCATAACACTTATAAGTAAGATTAAAATTCGTCCCGTTGTTGACCAATAATAAGAGTTAGGAAGGGGTAATAAGATATGAAGGGTGATAAGTGATAATAAGGGGTGATAAGAAATAAGGAGGAGTGATAATTACTTAAGAGTCGGTGGGCGCCTTTAAATGTATTCAAGATGCATAATATGGTTCTTCTAGAAGAGGAGGAAATTTTATATTTATTTCGACCGTGTGACAATATTGCCATTCGTTTTGGTAAATATCATCGTTTCGGCGGTACTTTGACATTGTTTTTTCACAGGTTATTCATCAAAGTCCGCAGTTATTTGGCCGGTCATTCGGCAAGTGTCCCGTTGACGTTTGCCATGAGCTTTTACGTGGGTCTGGTTGTGAAACGATGGTGGGAACAGTATAGACTACTTCCGTGGCCGGACACGTTGGCTTTGTTCGTGAGCGCTGCTATCCCAGGAACTACAGTAAGTATAATACACTATAAACTAACAAAATTAAATACGAATACGACTTATGATCAGCTAATTTTTCTGTCTTTTATCAATTACCTAATGTCAGCGGTTTCTCTTATAAATAATTTCTTATCAGTCGATTCTCTTATCAAACATTTCCTATCAGTTTTTCGAGGAATTATCAGTATTCCTTTATTACCATTCCATCAACACCTCTTACCACTATCTTATCCACGTTCTTCCTCTCCACTCCTATTTTTGGTATAAATAGGGTTATGCTGATTTTTGGCAGAATCTCCACCATAAAACGAAACAAAAAAAAAGTTGTTGACCCTTCTAAAGGAAGAGTTTTTGGGCATTTTTGTGGTTTGTCAACGTTTATCGTTGATACTTTAACTAAGGAATTCCCATAGAAATTTGTAGTTAAAGCGTGAATTCAATTATTGTAAGTTAAAAATATATGAATTTTTTTCGGTCTAAATACTCGCTTTATGAAGAAATCAGTTCAACAGCTTAGAACACAAAAAAAATGGTAAAAATAATATCTGCTCAGCTCCGCACCGAAGCTAAAAGCAATTGGTATTATTTTCATTAAAGGAACTAATTTCATGAACTCATTCCCTCACAACACTGTAATAATGAGTGTTATACCATGTGTATATTAGGCGTTGATGTCAAGTCACAAGTGATATTACATTATACATTGTACCGTTTAACCAATCAAATCGCATATTATGAATTATGTAGACATAATATTTATATTATTACAATGACAATATTCGAATAGGAAGTACCCTTGTGATCCTGCTAAATGCCAGTCGGGTCCGCAACAGGCGAGTAATAGTAAAACATCCTTATTGGCAACACTGAGAAGGCCGTTTAGCAATACAGTGTGATTCAAAGTAACGCACTCAACATTATTTAAAATAACTGCAATTTTTTAGTTTTTCTTTTTGAAAAAAATGTTCGTTTATGTTATTTTACAATTTTATGAAATCACCAAATATTTACATTTTTTCGCTATTTTACAGATTTCTGTCAAAATTTTAAATGTATACTTTATATTATTAATTAACTTTTTAAATTAAGAATAATTTGTTTTAAACCAGTTTTGAATAATTTGTACTTTTAAAAAGTTATTAGAAATCTTTACCATTTAAGTTCAAAAGACGATAAAACTATAGGATTTACCAATAAAAAATGACAACTTTTATAACTGTTAAATTACATTTAATAAAAACACGTCTCCATATGGGAAATTGCAATTTTATTTAGAGAAAATGATTGTCTGCGTTAAATGGATCCCCCTGTATATTGGAAATTCTGGGACAGGGCCAATGTTATCTGCCGTGCGTATAATATAATTCACTTAAATAAATATGTGTTATTAAATAAATCTACCTAAAACGGATAGGCATGTTCGACATTTTAAACACTTCCTTAGTCGCCAAACGACATTCCAAAAATACACACAGCGATTAGTTGGCCTAGTCGTGTCAATGAAACACAATATTCATATGAAGCGAATTATGTTGTTGATATTATGCTTCTGCCAAATGATTACATAATTATTGCATAGTTTTAATTATTTGTTTATTTAATTTTATTTCAAAGTTATGATATTGTTTTTTTTCCGAATTGTTAGGTAGCGAAAAGGTTTTTACGATTTTCTGGCTTTACTTTACCGCCTAAACTCTGGAAACAGTTTCCATCTTATTTGGCTTAATCATTTTTTTAACGAGATTCGCACCCGATTTATTATATAACATTATAGAACTAAAAAATCCAAAGTTAATTTAATGTAGTGTGGTTTTATCAATAGTTTATTTTTGTCGTTCAAGAGTAACACGAGTCTGAAAGTCTTAGTTTGGGGTTCAGAAACGATTTTTGGATTTTTCGGTTTAAAAGGTAAAAAAGTGTTTTAAAAATTGTTTTCTGATCCACTTTTTGTACATTTTTTACTCAAAAATAGGTATACTAAAAAAGTTGTACTATACGTGTCATATGTGCAAATTTATAATTTTTTTTTTTTTCGAATAACAGTAATGTGTACAACACTGAACTGAGTTTTAACCAAATGCTATCAATGTAAAAAAATAATACCGGAATTCAATGTTTATTTGTATCGACTCAGAATTCCCCCCCCCCCCCAACAACAGTGTTTCCAAAATCATGGAATCAAAAGAGCATTATTCTGAAACGATGTCTACACTGCAAATTGAAATTTTACATAGGCTTATCAATTACAAATTATTATCGTACGTAATATGCATACAGTTTATTGTATCACAATATATGACTGCACTGATTTTGGGGGGGGGGGGGAAGTGAGCCCCTGAAAAGACCTAGCCTTCTGGTATTATTATCATTTATAGTATTTGCTTTAACATTGTATATTAACGGAGGTTTATACCGTCTTATTGCAGGACGAAAGAGGGCGATTAATGAGGAGGAACATAGTGAGATACGCCGTATTGGCCTATGTGATCACATTGAAACATGTAAGCATCAGAGTGAAAAAACGATTTCCAACACTGCAACACATCGTCGACGCCGGTGAGTAACGCACCATATCAAGTGCCTAGTCTGTATTGCCGATTTAACCGGTACCGTTCTTCGGAGGGAAAATTCGCCGCGTCGCGTTGGCAACAATGAATTAGAACGGTACGGGTTAAACATAAAAAAAAAACAAATCATCCCATTATAAAAATTTGATCACACACCAAACACCACCGTTGAATGAAATTTTAACATAAATAGTTAACTAAATGGCAAAATATGTAATTTCATAAACGTGCATTACATTACCGATATCGTATAAACTATTCCAATGGATTTCGCGCAATCTTCATATTATACTAAAAGTGTATTAAGTCAGCTGACAAGGTACGACCGGTTTTCCTAATTTATATATACATATATAATTTTGCCAATGTCCGACCCAGTAACCCGTCGGCTTCGAATTTAATATTCAAAGAATGCCCCACTACACAAATACAAAAAAATCATTCAACTCGTGTACTTTTTTTACAATCCATCAATTTTAATAGCCGTTTAAATATGTTATTATCATCATAATATTATATCGAACGAGAGCGAACCGACTCGGCCACATAGCAGTAATGGATATAATACATTATTTTTTTCAAACACCAAAATTTCATTGCTGTTTGACCGACGGATGTTTTACATTTTTTTTTTAAACAACACAATACCGTCTGTCCTATATACATATATAATACAAACTATAATATAGTACACGCGGTATATTATTATACTGTTGTTTGTGTATACTCGCAAGGCTGAACGACCTTTCGGCGACCATACGAGTTACGATTCAATTAGTTTGGACAATATGATATTGTTATACTTCCCACCCATCCCAATTTTTTAATTTTTACAAATCATTCGATTTATTCGTTTCGGTCTGTGGACGAAATTCACGTGTACGATTACTATAAACAAAACAATTTTAATCCGGTTTTACCTGACCTTAGGACACTGCCGAGTTCGTTGATTTCTATTTGACGTCATGTTCGATTCGTCTCATTAGATCTTCTAAATAATATTCTAGGCGTAACAGACGTGCCGATTATTATTTCTCGGTTGTATATTTTCCAGTTTTTATCACTGGCCAACACGATTTTTCGCCTTATATAGTTCATTTTTTTTTTAAGCATTAGCAATTTTAAACGATCATCTCGATTGAAAAATTCCTCATACGTTTGCAGTTTGCTCCATTTGTTTACACTTCACGTTTATCTTGAGCCCGAAGTGACGTCACACATTATCGTGACCACAAGTCAGGGAAAAAACAGTGTTGCCAATACGCTAAAACTTTTTAAACCTGTAACGGTCGCTAGGGCTCAAGATGAACTTGGTGGGTTTAATCCCATCTCATTCTGAATAGTGTACTTGTTATGAATTCTTGTATACTCTAAAAAAAAAATTTTAGTACAACATGGAATAGGGTGCTTCCAAAAAAATCATAACCCGGTTAACGCATAAACATTTATTTTTATGTCCAATGAAATTTAAAATTAATCGCTCAGTGACGTTTGTCGAAAGGAGTTAAACGACATAAATTATGTTATAAATTTCTTCCAACAATAGAATGGTGGTGAAATCTATTCGAATTGAATCTATATTTGTGGTTTTGTGGTATTTAGTTGTACGGGACATATACACATTATATTTGTGGTAAAAACTAATAGCTCGTACTATTTTCATCAGCTCTTTTCTAAAACAGCCACTGTCTTAACAAATCAATTTTGATTATTCGAAAGCAAATAATTTTCTAAGCAAATCCGTTTGTAGAATCAATTTTTTTTTTGTATAAATTTGAATTTAACACGGTTTAAATCGAACTATTCAAAAGGTACTAGTCAGATAACAGATAATTAGTCATTTATTTATAATATCAGGATATAAACGTTATCAAGAGAGACTAAGGCGTTCTAACCTCCTGAAAGTAGATTTTCCCTAGCTCTGCACTCGAGTCGAAAATTATGTTACAAAATTAATTAAAATTTTTTTTTTACTTGTGTATATTTTTTTAGTATTTGGGGGCGAAACGGGTATTTTAATGTTAGTCTTCAACTGCAATTATTTTAGAAAATCAATTTTACAAGCCCTGAACAAAGAGTATTACAACCAGAGGTGGGCGTCGATACTATTTGTCTTTTTCGGTTTCAAGATACTTTATGTATCAATATTAAAATTTGTTGATAGAGTGATGCATGATTTTTTTTATTTCGATACGTGTGTCATGTGTCAATATTATACTTTACACACCCAAATTCTAAAATAAAAATTTCATCTGTACATTTTTTGTGCAAAATTAATTTTTTCTGATATTTGTACACTTTAATTCGAGGTGACAAATTACACTTCATAATTAACGAGTAAATTGCATAATGGATACGTAATACTTTTATATGTATCAATCAAAATCAAAATCGGTTAAATTGTTTCCCAGAAGGATAGATAAATTGGATCATGAACATGTCTTATGATCAGCTGATGTCCCGTCTCTTATCAGCTGATTTTCTTATCAGTAACCCGGGAACGATTTCCTCTTTTCGCCATCCCATCCCTACCTCTTTCATACATAACACTGGCCCATCCCTTTGTGTCACAAAAGCGTCATGTAAATTTTCGACAGCCATAAGACATATTATTCATGTCAATTGATTTAAAATGTGATACTTGATGTATAATATATTTGTATGTATCAGAGTGTTTTATTGATATTGAAAATCGTCGATACACGCCCGCCTCTGGTGTCAACACTATTTGCCAGTTTTCAAGTAGATCCTTATCATCAGCATAATAGTACTAATAATAATAGTACTATCGTTATCCTCGAATCTCTTTTCCACGACATACCTTCACATCTAATTCGATCCGGATGTGTTCCACTTGAACTGCGGTAAGGCTGTATTGATAGTTGGGACCAATATTGGTGGGAAGGTGGCGTGACGGAGAGCGTATAACACAAACTTGGGCCCGACACAGGTCTGATGTTGGAGAGCGAAAAAAAAATCGTGGAGATGATGGACGAGAGAAGCCCAATGTCCAAGTACTGGATGCCGTTAGTGTGGGCGACCAACATCATAAACCGAGCCCGCAGAGAGTCACTCATATCCAGCGACCAGGTGGTCCAAACGCTCCTCGTTGAGCTGTCTGACATCAGGCGTAGACTCGGCTCTTTGATCAGCTATGACACTGTCTGCGTACCACTCGTCTACACACAGGTCAGCATTTTGCCAATACCCTATACCGACTATGTATTTAGTGTATTCTTTTCTTGTTTCGTATTTTGTATTATCCATTTCATTAACTATACACATTATTATTTCCTCTGGAACTTGCCGATTCGCAATCTATTACCTAAAAGCTACAATTATAAAATTTGTTAAAACCAAAGTTATCATAGAGGTTATTTTTAAAAAAATATATCACAGCCCAACGAAAATGTTTTTTTCACACTGTAGATAAACAAAGTTAAAAAAATATATATAATAAACTATTATATAAATATATTCATAATTCCCTATTACTACTCTTTATAGACACACCTCAACTCTAAACAGTGGACATTTTTCAGCTAGCCGATGTTTTTTAATTTATTATTTCAGTATTTTGTACTCATTGCATACTTTTAAGGAAATATTTAAATGTTTTTAAATTTTTTTTAAGAAAAAATATTTAAATAAAATGTCACTCTATAAAAAATTTTAAAAATAATTTATGCATTATTCTATTGTATTAATGTTACATGCAACTTAAGTCGGGCATTATTAAAAAATAATATTTTTCATTGTTTATTCTAAAAAACTTTTAATTAAATTAAATTAGTAAACACGAATTACGGCAAGTTCCATGTGAAAATATTTTTAAAACAATAATAATTTTCATCAGTAACTCAACTGCCTGATTAATGACCTAACCCAACTTTTTTACGGTCGTTATTTAATATTAAAAAAATATTGCAAACGTAGATTTTATTGTGTGTTGATTTCTTGGTGTGACAAAACAGCTCTTGTTGACATTCTTTTATATAGCTTTGAATAAAAAAAAACTAACCTGGCGCTTAAGCTTTGCATGTGCATGTGAAACACTAACTTGTATATAAATATATTAATTGTATATGTTTTTTAAACCTGTATACGTTACTCATACCGGCTATATATTTATATTATACTTATACAATAATCTTTTTTTTTCTATAATAATAATAAAAAGCATAACGGTAAGTCAAAGTTATTATAATAATAATAATAAAATTATAAGTACACAACTGCATACAAAAATGTATACTTGAATGAACGACCCGCCGAATCGAGCGTGTTGGTGTCCGACAGTGTAATAATAATTATTGCTATATTATAATAATATTATTATTAAGTTTAAGCCTCCGGCCTTAACTCGTACAGGTAATATATAAAAATACCTTGGCATTATTTTATAATGTCTATACCACATACCGAGCCGGTCGGTTCGATACTTCTTAAGCGACCTGGCATGTGTGTTAAGTGCCAAGAGATTTGCTTATATACATATATAAATATATTTTTTATCGGTTCCCGTTGTGCACAATATAACATACATACACACACGAAACCGATTATAATGATGATTTTTTTTAAATACCGATTTATAAATTTAACAACAATAATCGTCGCTCCAATAACTTTGTACATATTAATGTTTTATTCCATAACGACGACGACGATAATAATAATAATATATTTTTTACCGCATTTATATTAAATACTGTATAAATACACGTATAATAAAATATTAAACGTAAACTTATACGTGTATGATGTTACGATGGACGAACCCGTGTAACATTTTTTTTAAAACAAATTTTACCGAGGTGAACGTTATTTTTATTTTTTAATTGCACGGTGGGTAAAGTCACCTGTCACGAGTTGTGTCAGGCATGCAAACGCCAAAGAGACAATAATCATATCCCCCTTTTTATTTACATACCTTTCCTCCTTCTCTCCCCGCCAATTCTTATCAAAACTTTAAAGTACGTTAATTGATATCGACAAGACAACAACGACTACGCCAAAAAATCACACCGGATCCATTGTCGAGATTTGGGTATTGTCGAAATGTTCGATTGTTTAAATGAAATTTAAATTAATAGCATTTAGTAATAGTCGAATAATTGGTATATATGGCTAATAAACCTAGTTGTCGAAGCCTTAACTTGATAAAATTATCAAACGAAATTTTCCGTCAACCAGACAATACCTAATAATAATTATTATTATTGTACAATGTCGGTTGTCTTCAAAATTCATATAATTATTATTACTATTTTTGTTTTTTTTTTGCGTCACAGCCACAAACGAATATCATGGCGTTTCCAATTGTTTTTTTTTTCTAATACCTATGAATGTGTGTGAATCCATATACAGGGTGATCCATTCGGCGGTCTTGCGTATCTTAGATAACGAGTGCCATAATATTTGATATCACTTAAAGTAATCACAATTTTGTAATTTTTTCTATTTAAATAAATGTTTGTTTATTTTATTAATAATTATAATATTCATTTTATATAACTATTAAACAAATTTCATATTTCTACATGTATATTTTTCAGAGGTTTATTGACTTTTGAAATTGAAACTGTAACTTAAATATTTACTTAATTTTACAATAATTTGCCTAAACGTTTCCAGCGGTCGATAACCAGTTTTGAATAATAATTACTTTTAATGTTAAAATAATTATTCAAAACTGGTTATCATAAAAAAAATTTAACATTGTTTAATACTGTAAAACAACATTGATTACAAAAATAACAAAAAAAAAAAATAAAATACAAAATTATAATATTGTTATTTAAAGAAAATGAGCGTCTTACGTTAAATGGATTACCCTGTATATAGATATAGAGATATACAGAAGTATGGATGGACGGCTAGCTGTTTTATAATTTTCCCGGTTACGTTGTGTTTGTATATTATTATTATTATATGCGTGTGCGCGGCCATTTACTGTGCGGCAATTGCAAACGTACACGTAATCTAATTGCAGAGAGAAAGTGTACCGCAACTATAAATGAGAAAGAGAGAGAGAGAGAGAGAGAAATTATAAGCATAATATAAACGTATGTTTACAATCTGTATATGTTCCTCCAATCGCAATTAATCGATGCTATTTTTGTACTCGTATTATGATATTTTTATCAGTTTTTTTTTTAGTTTCTCCGAGCAAGTCTTAACAACAATTATCTTGCTGATCTCGAATCGCGTGTATTCGTAATAGTTGTATAATTTTTAATTTAGATCATAATTATAGGCTCGATATAACTGTTCTAAGTCCGAACTGATGCATGCTAAGTAGACTTTTCTATCCGGAAATAATTTATTTTAAATGGAGACAAATCTACCGAATCAAAGACGGAAGTTCAGCTGTTTTTATTTTGATTGCAACCCGCGTGCGTTCAACGAGTCAAAAAGCATCGAACCAAAAACCCCGAATAAGTTAAAAACAAACTATGACCTATATGTCAATTGAAAATGTCATTAACTTTATCGATAATAGTTAACAAGTTGTAACAAGTGGAAAGCATTGAAAAGACGAAGACAAATAAGGCCCCTTTAAAAATAAATAAATTATCGACTATAGTCCAACTATATATGTAATATACAATATATTATCAGTATATCTATGAAAGTTCAAATTTGCATATAAACCAATATAATTAAAATTGAGTTAAATAAATTCAACAATATCAGTTAATCAATTTTAATGAGCTCAACAACCACGAACGGACCTGGGCAATTTTCATTTAATAATACTGTTCTGAATAATAAATTATTCGAAAATTATTTCACACATTTTCCGGTTAGGAAACGAACAATTTTGCGAGAAATAAGAGAAAACTGGTAATTATCTGATTTTCCAACAGGTGTAGTAGTCAATCCACATAAGTAGGTACCTCAGATGTAATTCTTAAAAAGTGTTCTCTTCTAGTTATTCTGTATTAACAGCGTGTCCTATCTCTTCATTCGTACCATCGATCATCTTACAATCACAATGATACTACAGTACATCTTTTCAGCCGACTTCTCCTTATCAGTTACCGTTCTTATTACAATATTAATCTTATCGCAGACCAACCAAAAGTGGTTAAACCGTGTCCTTATTAGTCGATTTTATTTTGTATTTTCCTCGTTGTTTCGTGTGTCACGTGCGGCGGGGTTTCGATGTACAATAACATGTTCTACTTCTGTGCCCCGGTCTGCTGTAAACCGAACGCGTTAAAACCCTCGGAGAGTAGAAAAAAATATACAATTTTTTTCCTTGTTTTTTTTTTTAAATACCCGGGCGCAGGTCTGATGATGAAGAGCGAAAAGGAAATACTGGAACTGATCGAGGTGAAAACCCCGATGACCAACTACTGGATCCCGTTGACTTGGGCCACCAACATCATAAACCGGGCCAGACGCGAGAAACTGATATCCAGCGACCAAATGGTCCAGACGATCCTGTTGGAGATGTCCGACATTAGGTACAGACTGGGATCGTTGATCGGCTACGATAGCGTCAACATACCGATACTCTACTCTCAGGTCGGTATTTATACAATATATACATACATACACAGCGCAGCGTACACGCCCGTGTTGTTTCCATGTTTGTTTATATATGTATACGATACAGGTTCATGCATTACAATGATACTAATACATTATATTAGTAGGTATTACAATATATTCGAGTAGTGGTTTGTAATGTTTTATACCAGTCTTTAGACAGACGCTCTCGAGCATGCTTGTTCTTCGTGATGTACCACACTTAAACAATAATATTTCACGCATTAACCGCACGTTATAACCATTATTTTTCATTGTTATCATGATAAACGTAACACAGAATACCACGTTGTATACTCCGGGGTACGGTGTAGAGCAGCTATAATAATAATAATAATAATAAATACAAGTCTGGTTGATTTTTGACAGTAGTACTGGTACTACAGTACCAGCTTGCATAAAGATCACGTTTCAATGTGGAATCGCATTATTATTATTTAAATTTAAAAAAACCAGCACAGTCAGACGGGAAGGTCACAGGTTTACAGGAATAATTGAAAGTGATAAAATCACTTTCAAAATAAACGTTTCGATGCGAATCTGTGGACGGCAGAAATATTAAAATGTCGATAAAAACTATTGTAAAGGCAAAAATGTGTTAATCGTCGCCGAGCGTCAAGGTATTGGTTTTACAATGATTTACTACTCGGCCGGCATGTCTATAGATCACAAATTGTTGCATCTAGATGGTACCTCGGAAGGCTGAAAGTTATATTTTAATGATTTCGTTTTTTTATATTAAGCACAGTATGTTGTTCCAAAATACTGTAGCATTGTCGTGTGAATGTAACAGTGTCGTGGTGTTGCAATTTATCAAATCAAAAATAAAGTCTTAAGATTTGTACTGAGATAAATAAATGAAAAAATAGATTTTCTCGTCATGGAAATTGATAATAATATGGTATTACATTTTTTTCTTGGTAAATCATAAGATAATAGATAACCTATTAATTTTCATTTTTTTTTTCCGGTAAAATAATATTCACACAAATGATTTGTTACCATCTTGTACAAAAAAAATACCTGGAGTTTTTCAAATAAGACCAAAACCGCATGTACCTATTTATGAATTGGACACTATTTTCCCTTTTTTTTTATATAAGATACACCACAATAGTTTTAAGACTAATTTTATTTAACGACAGCAAATTATCCTTAAATCATTTTTGTTACACATTTACTATACATAAATGCCTTCTAACTCTATGGACCAGTGAAATCGGTCGACTAAGTTATTCAAAGCATGTTGGAAGTCTGCCGAGTTGTTGCTGTACAAATTACGTCCCTTCGAGTTAATTTTCAACTGTCGATTTTTTTCTACAATATCATCAAACGGTAAACGTGTTAACTCTAGTAATGACTGTACAATTTTCTAGAAAAATTCAATACGTTAGAATATTTTTAAAATTTTTGTCATACGAGACCTCGACATTAGCGATTTAGAATATTGTCATTGACACATATCGATAATGGTAACTAATAACAATAATAAAAACGTTCGTCGTCGGTGTAAAGCTAATATATGGGCATTGTCGCATGTAAAATATAAACTTGTACCTAAAGCCATAAAATAGCCGTGCAAACTTGGGCGATATTACGTTTAATTTATGTAAGTTGTGACCTAAAATTATTATTAAGTCGTGCGAGTAAAAAAAAAAATATTACAAAAAAAAAAAAGAGGAGTAGTTTGACCATATAAAGATGTACATAATAATATCATAATGCGTGTTTTACACATAACTGCGTATATTTATTTTATTATTATGCAAAATGTATATCTTACGGAATTCGTTAGTTATGCTATACGTTTCGATGAATGTCGTCAAATTATATTATGGTATGTAGATTTTACTTTTACACCTTCGACTTAAATAAAAAAACAATTTTCATAAAAATAATATTATCACTTAATATTTTATTACCACCTTCGACGATATTAACAATCGAGTTCTGGCTCGCTGCCCTTGCTACTACAGGTGACCAATTACCATCCAACGGGTAGTATTTAATGGGTGGTATTTAATGTACACAATGCTAAGTAAAATCATTAGCCGTTTCGCTATGACATTTGTCCATCACCTGTTAACATTTTAAAATCCTAAATCCGCCTTTTTTTTAAAAATTATTCTTATTTTATCAACATTGACTTAGGTTATGTTAGGTTACCATCCGAGTTTTATTCGATGAACTCACTTGAAAAATCCAGAATTTTCCATTCTTTGATTGTTTTTGTGACAAATCATCAAAAAAGTTTATTCTTTTAACGTTAAACGTTTAATGCATTCAATTGAGTATAGTGTAGTGAAAATTATTCCTTTAAAAATAAAATCTTAAAGCTTGCATGGAATATCATGAAAATGTTTAACGTTATTTACGTGCGTCGTCGTTTTTTCCATTTATTTTTGTTTAGTTACTTTTGACATAATTAATATTTATTATATTCGCACAGCACGATTTACATAGTGTATTTAAAGTAGGTACAATAATTAATAATACATGAGTGGTGAGTCATATTCGCGAGTGAATGCGTCTGGTTTACCCAGAACCTATGAATAAACCTGTATGGTTATAATTTTCAAAAATCTAGTATTTTGCTCTCATACCTAAAGCTATCTCGAAAAACAATTGCTGGCTAAATACAACTATTTGGCACATCTAAAACAATAGTTATATGTAGTAAGAAGTGACCGCAATATGACCCGTTTTATCCGTTCAGTATTACAAAGGTACAAAGCTGAGCAGTCAGTATAAGTAATTTGTAACTTTCACGTTACATTTTCCTCATTAGTAACATTTAACTCGATGATTCACTGATTTTTCTCAAACTATTTATAGTTACCAAATTATACTTACAAAAAATATACAGAATTACCAAGTGTCTATCCATTTAGCGACCATCGAAGTTAACTTAAAGCGTTATACTTATTGAAACGTTTTTTAAAAGTCAATCATTGTACTTCCTTCGAACTTATCTTTTCTAATGTGAATATTGCAAGTAATTATCGTCTTAAATAGACACCAATGTATTTTCCAACTAATAAAACTATTTCGGTCATTTTGACCAAAACCCCGACTTCCGTGCGCAGGTTAGCGTTGACGTGCGAATTTTTTCAACACTAATACATATAAAATTGTTGTTTGCGATTATTTGCGGTTTCGCCTCCGATTTAAACGCACCGGACCATGCAAGGCTATGCACATACCGGAATTAAACATTTGTGATAAAAAAAAAAAGAGGATTTGCCGAAAACTACCCGTTTATAATATCGTCATAGCGTTGGCGAAAACAATCGCGGTCGGAGAGGGCAAATAGATGATTTTTTTATGCAAAATAATAACAATGGTAAATTTTTTTTTTTTTTAAATTAGCCTGATGCGCAACGATAGAATTTTCGGTCGAACGATTTACAAGCCATGTGATTGGAAACACATCGGCATTGCACGAATCACCTTGACGTGGTCGTTTTTCCCATGCCCTTTACAGAGCAAACAAACACACACGGTATAATATGTACGTACATGAATCGAATTCGAAGCGGTGCATTAGTACCGTATAGACATATTATTATACCTATCTGTTCAGACCGGACGATGCCGGATGGAAATTGTCGACGTACGAAGGCGGCGGTCGACCTAGGCCTAACGTTTATAATATTTATACTTGAAAAATAAAAGAAGAATGAAAGAAATTGCCTCATCTTCAAGGAGAAACATGCGTACCATGAATTTGTCCTATGACACCCACCGTCTTAATCTTAATTGGACGTTTCTCACGATTTACCGAATAGCTAATAACAACGATGAGTGATATTAAGAAAAGTGATAAGGAGGGATGGTAGAAGGCACATCGGCTAGGGAGTTACCAGACCTGCTTATAAGGTGGTAATGGTGCGATAATGGGAAATCGATATTAGAGAATCATCTGGTAAGAGATAATTGATAAGAAAATCAGCTGATAACAGACAGAAAATCAGTCGATCGCTAGACACGACTGACGGCCATAGTCCGTTGTCGTTTCTCCAAAGGAAAGATGGCGTTTTTCGGGCTTCTCGTAAAGTACAGCGCTAATAGGTTTTGTTTTCTTACTCGTCTCGAAAACGGTATATTGTCACGAGAGATGGCTCTGACCTTCTCAACCCGGTCCAGTGGTCGTTGAAGTGACATTGACACACACACACAAGTCAATGCGGTGTAGTTTCATAACGTCGCATCTCTGGGTTATAATAACAATACAACAGCGGTGATTTATAATTTATTAAACGTCTGTGTATTTGTTCCCGTTTGACGCGTTTTGAGTTATAGATACATATATACATAACACTATAAGCTCTGTCGCACACGGTCGTTCGTTTGAGTGAGATGTGCCGAGAAAACGATTAAGAACAAACGGCGGCGGCTCCCCCCCCCCACCTCCCCCCGAGGGTGATATGATATATAATATTTTTCAAGGAGTCGCCGGCACATTACACCCGATATGGATGTCGGACCAATCCGACCGCAATGAACGGTCCAATGAACTCTATTTTATTATATGTACAGCCTGTTGTCTAGTACAATAATAATATGATGATGATGACGATGAGCATATTATTATGCACATGTTCGACGGGAAAACGACAGTGTATATTATTTTGATTTATAAAAAATAATTTTCCCGCGCAAAAATACGGATTTTTATTTTTAGCCAGATAGGTCTGGGGACGGAGCAAGGGGGATTTTCTAACGGGTCTCTAGGATAATCACTAGCCGCTAGGAGACAGAGCGTTGAAGGGTTAAAAATGCTTTAACTTTTCAAAGTCAACATTCTTTGTGTTGGCATTGTAAAAATTGCATATTTTTTCAGACTTCTAACTTTTGTGTCCTATTTAGGCACAACGAGTTACAGTTACCACAAACTACTTACGCTGTTTTATAGTTAATTAGTTACCCGATAAACTCGAAAATTACAATGGTACTATATAATTATCACCTAACCCTACGTTTTGCCCATTAGTATTCAGCGTAAGTTGACTTTAAAATTTACTCTTTTTTAAGTCAATAATTTTCTTTTCTTGGAGTTATCTATTTGGTAGTAAAATGTGTAGTGTATAATATTTTTAAAAATTTTGAAATCGTTCTACTAGTTTTATAGGCTCAAGTGGGTCGATTGTTAGCGAATAAGGCAATTTTGACAGAATAAACTTAATAATTTTTAAATTAAAAAATGTTCATTATTTTATTTTTTTTTAATCTCATTGCCTCGTTTGCTTACACTCGTCTATAAAGTTTCTGTTTAATGTTTATCTCATGTGAGAATGGTTGTTTTGAAAAATTGTTATAAACACAACGATCGTGTCACTTAATACGTTAGTGAATTTTTCACAAATTTACGACGAATTGTTCACAATAATATTTACCAACATATCGATATTGTATTTTTTTAGTTCCGCGGTACTTAAACAGTACACAATTCGAATGCATTTGTTCATAGTTAATCCGCCATGTATTATAGGCATAGAAAAAATTAAAAAAAAATTATTACACAAATTAATAAACAAATTGCATAATTTCTAATTAATTCATTTTTTTTTTCAATTGCATTTTATCAAACGTCTATCAAGTGTACCCTATTGTCGTGCGTTGCAACATTGTTTTAATAATATAGTGTATTTTTTTTATAGAATAACAATTCGATAACAATTTTAATAGAGACCTTGAATTTCAAAGCTTGCTATAATACCGCGGCAATTACATTTAGAGGTCTTTTATGGTAAATCGGAATTTACTTTCCAGTCGATTCCGCATTAGCAGCGATTGGGAAAATCGGTTATTTTATAAATATTATTAACATTTTTGTCATAAACATAAGCTGTTATCGATCAATTGTCGGTTATGAACCAGTGGATGGCCAAATCTGACAAACTGTTTGATATGGAGCATTTTTTTTATTTATTGTTATTAAGATATAACAAAGTGTGAAACCGTACAAAAAACGTGGCGGATAAAATAGTTAAAAAAACCAAAACGACCTTGTTGCTTATAAGTTTCAACAGACCGTATCGCATGGTTAATACAATTTTTTTTTACTGTACTCGATTTATACAATAATTAGGTGTTAAACGTTAACACTATGTTATTATTATTTTTATTCTTCTTTTAATTCTCTCAAAATACAATTAAAAAAAAAATAATTTATGGTTAATCATTATTACTGTAAACCCCGGATTAAATTATTATAGAATTTAAGCATGACGTAAATGGTGAAAATGTTTTTAAAAATAATTTTATAGGAAAAGTAAAAAAATATTTATTGGTCCGCCGATAGAAGTTATTATTATTATTATCAGCTGCTTTACCGTGTATAGGTTTATTGTTTTAGCAAGTTTAGTAAGTAAGTATTTGATTTAATGTAGTATTTTTAATTGTAACCGTAGTTGCTTTTTGGTATTAATTACGCCATATAGTTTTCATAAGTTTTAATTGTCTTGTTTGTGTTGTAATTAAAATATGTGAATTTACTCGTGTCGCCTAACTCGAGATGTGTTCTTTGGAGTTTTATTGATTTTACTATATTTTTTTTACCTATATTATACAGGTGGTCACGTTATCTATGTATGCTTACTTCGGTGCTCAGCTGATTGGCGCCCAAATGGTCGAACCGCCAGTCGAATGGGGATTCAAAGACTTCAAAGAGTTTGACTTATACGTCCCTCTGCTGACCATCGTCGAGGTTTGTCTCGCCCTATGTGGATAAAAATGTAATTAAAAAAAAATTGTGTTTTTTTTCCTTTAGTTTTGTTTTTTCCTCGGCTGGCTCAAAGTAGCCGAAGTGCTCATCGGTCCGTTCGGAGAGGACGACGACGACATCGAACTCAACTGGCTGATCGACCGCCATATAAAGGTAAAATTATTAATATATTAACAATAAATTGCCCCGCCCTTTAAATTGAATAAAAATAACAAATACAAATAAAATCCGATAAGAAATGGTATAGAAGATGTTCACTACATAACAGAGAGTGTAAATGTAGTGTTCATAGGGATTTTGTTTACCAGGTTATAAGCCAGTTGTATAATTTGGTTATTGATATAAATAAATACAATGGCAGCTTGCCAGAGCACTTTTCAAAAATTACACGGGACCTCAACGGGGATAGATTTTCTACACTTGCGGGAAAACAGAGTAGGCAGTAGAAAGATAATTACCATTTTTCTCTTGTTTCTGGCGACACTGTTAGTTTTCAAAACTATAAAACCGTTCACTGTAGCATTAGGCCTTTTAAAGGAATTTTGTGTTTTGTAAAATTTCATTTTGAAGAAAAACGTACTAGTCTACAATTTTTTTTTTTTAATTACAAATTACCTATTTTCTGTTTTTTTTTCTATTAAATCCCTTTTGATTTCTTAACAACCGTTGTCGGCTCACGGTTGATACAACAATATCAACGAGCTTCGCCGAGTGTTTAACACCGTGTACACTTAACGTACTTACAACTAAACGAGTTTTTCCGGTTTGGAGTAAAAAAAATAAAAAAATTCCTACAAAAGTAGGCCTTCTCGGTGGTTTTTATTTTTCTATTTCGCGCTTTAATTTTTTTTTTTTTTTTTATAACCTCCAAACTCGGCCGGATAAACTTTCATTTATAAAATGACATTTTAACCGCACAGAGTTTATTATAATAATAATATGACACCCGGTTGTCTTCATTTGGACGGTCGAGTCGGTCGTTAATTAGACAATATTTGACTAACGATGGCAATTCATCAAAAGGAGATTTTGTCAACACACATTTTGCAAACAATGTTAGCGGTTTGGGTTTGGGGTTTTTTTTTTAAGACAAGGTGTGACCGTACGACCGCGGTGAGGCCATGGTCCTACTAATGTAATGGATCTTTTTTGAATTTTATGATCCAACAAAATATCGTTGCAGTAATTTGCAATATAACTATTATTAGGGTCACGGTCGTCCGTACAATTATTGTATTATTACACCTATACCCGCCGCTAAGTATAATAATGCACACAAATATATTATGCACATGTGATGGATACGATTTTGACAGTGGTAGGTACGACTTGCTACTCGGTTTTGATACTTGGCTTCGACGACCCGTTTGACCTTTGTCGTTCACACACAATTACCCAATTCAACCTTAATTAGTGCATTGAAGTAAATTTTAATGCAAATTATTTTCGCGCACTTTTAATTGTTCGTAAGAATTAATTGCATTTTTTTTAAATTAATTTAATCGTTTATTTCTCGTCTTACAACAGTTTTTATAGTTAAAATTTTAAAAAAAATTTAACTAGAGTTTTTTTTTATACATTACATTGTATACTGTAATTATTTTCAATAAACTCCAAATTCATTTAATGTAAATCTTTAAGTATGATAAATTAATTATCTTAATAATTGCTCACAGATAAATTGTTTTAATTTATTTTAGATACGATTAATGTACATGAAATAAATAGATAAAAATTGCTATCAAGATTTTTCTAGATCTATCCAGATAACTAACTTATCTGAATACTTGAATCTAGTTAATGCTTAGCAATGCGTTAATACATGACTCACAATAGCATACAAAGAGTTTCCATTAAGATAAAAATTTATTAGTACTTAAAACGCATTAAAGCGACAAACAAGGTTTGGATTTTTTTTTAATTTATTATTTGTCGTCAGAATTGATTTTTGTTTTTGTAGTGTCAAATAAAAGTACACGAATTTTTGTTGACATTTAGACCTTATAACAGTAAATTTTTAAACGCAAACAAACAAAATAAATAATCTAAACAATCATACGTCAAGTCTAAATAGAGACTTCACACATGATTTCACAACCTAGTTATATTATAGCTGTACTTATGAGTAAACTTTTTTTCTTAAACCAAACATAAATCACATTTTTTCCGCCGAATTTTGTAATTTCGCAAACGTGATTTATCTTAAACTGTTACTAAAGAAAAAAAACGAATTCTTCTAAGATTACTAATACGTTAAAAATAAAAATAGGTTCATTGATCTAAACTGAAAACTAGTACTTTTAAATGATCTATGTAAAATTATTAGATGTCCTCTTGTTTTGTTTTCGTGTATACATAAAGAAAATGTAATTGTCCGTCGTTAATAGATTTTTTTTTAAAAAGATTTTCGACATCTTTTAAGTTCATTTTTATGTTTATTATACATTTATTATTCGATAAATTACAGTAAAACAAGTTTTACATTTTCAGTAACTGTTAAGGATAAAAAAAAAATTGTGTTCCTTAAACAAACCTTAAGACATGACTTGTATTTTGGTATGCTACACGAGACGGTTAATTTGTTGAAATTTGTTTTCCTGATTTATATAAAACCTCTAAGTTAGCTTATTCGCTATAAATGACCTAATTATCAAGTTAGAAATAATGTTGTTCACCGACAAAAAGAATATTCGTCCAACTATTTATTTTACTAAAATGTTATCAATTATTTGACGACTTAGTCAAATTTTGTGCAACCTTGGTACCGAAAAATTGTTATTTATGATCTTCCCTGGTCTTATCGGTGATACATGTAAGCCAATACGTGACGGTGTTTACTATTTAACGGATTAGCTGGTGTCGAGTTTGACGTCACTCGTAGTGTGTGTGTCGTTAAGGCTGCACGTTGGAAATTAACGATGGGTACACGTTGATACGTTATATTTTAGTTTGGTTATTATTATTGCCAATTTGAGATATCGTGTGTTGATAACAGTACAATATCGTTATATGTATCGGTCGTGTCGAGAAAAAAAAATTTAATTAGGTGTAGCCATTGGCTTGTAAACGACTTAGTCAAAGCTGTCTTTGTGCGTTCCTAGAAATTCTTGTACTACATTATTGCATTAAAAAAAAAAAAATACTATTGCTCAACGACACGCAGGGAGTCGTCATTGTAACGTTGTCTGAGATTCCCAGTCGGGTCGTCAAACCTATGTAAGAAGTTTTTTCGGCAAACGGCGCATCCGTTTACAGTGAATAACAGTATAGTAGTACTATTGTGTATATGCATTGTCCCTTTCCCAAACGGGAATCACATGATGTGGTCGGAAATCACACGTTTGTTTCCGGCTCAAAAATCAAAATAAGACCCTAAAAACTCCAAATTGTTCATCCGTCCGAAAACCAAAACCCTGATAATGTACACTAGTTTTCAAGTGGTGAGCACCAAAAAAGATACAAGTGACATTTTCATATCAGCTATAACATGACAACACTGCATTACCAAAAAAATAACACATAGCTTATTATTAGCCCAGAAATTATAATTATTATAAGATATGTGCATAAATCATGTACCTACCTACATACCTTACGCTATTAATTTTTAATCTATACAAGTGCATTTGTATCCTTTTGGCTAAATACAAATATTTTTCAATTTCACGTTTAATAGTTTTGATGTTTTTAAAAAAACAAGTTTCGATCATATATTAAGTGTCAATAGCATATTTTTCTAGGCCTATTTAATAACTAGGGTTTTAAAATTGTTCTTCAGTCTGTGAAAGCGGAATAAAACACAACTAATAAACATCACCTATAAGAAAATATTGGAAGTACAATTTTTACATTGATATCCTTTAAAAACTGTATAAAAATTACTTTTATTCATATGATTCACATAACTTTAATTTAAAAAAATATAATAATAAAATATTTTTGATTAACTAACATTTAAACAAAAAAAATAAGTTTTGTTTGTTCAAACAAAATATGTTGACAATTTTTATTTTTAGTTCGACTACCGAATAACTTACCTTTTTACATTGTGCAAGTTTACTTATAACTTTAAAATTTGGAAATTATATCGTTTATTAAAAATTCAGCAGGATTACCACGTTTATAATGGTAATAATATTTTAATTTAAAAAATATATGTATTGCTTTATTGTTAAAACATATTTTATATTGTGATTCTTGTTGTTTTTATTGAGTGAAAAAAATCAATTTTTTATCCCTAACCTACCGTAACTTAATTGAGTCGCAGTTTGAACCTGAGCAAGTTATGCGCGTTACCCTCGGCCTGTATGAACACCAATTTTACATAGGCATAGCTTTAACCCGAACAAATGATTTGCTAGACAAAACGCTTATTCCAATCAACGAACCATTACGTATTTATCTTTTTTTTTTTAAATGGATATTAAATGGCTGAAAGTCCATCTAAAATTTGCGTGGCCATTTTCATGTCACCGTCATAGTAACTGGATACGCAAATCTCGGATTAAGAAATGGTAGGGAGGGGAGTGGAAGGAAAAGGACATTTAACAAATCCACGGTTCAACGTTTTTCCGTGCAGCAGAGGAAATGGGCGATTTTTTTTTTTGAGGGGTTTATGTAAACCAACATACAATCTCATTGAAAATATTTTTTTTCCCATCAGGCCGCCTACATGATCGTCGACGAAATGCACGAAGAACATCCGGAACTGCTCAAGGATCAATATTGGGACGAAGTAGTGCCGAAAGACTTGCCTTACACGGTGGCTTCGGAGCACTACAGGCGAGAGGAGCCCAAAGGGTCGGCCGAGTTTTACAAGGTAAAAGAGTCTGACGCCCTGTACGCCAACATGGTGCCGCCGAACATGCACAGAAAACCCGCAGTGCACGATGACGTGTACGCCGACTATGTGAGTATTAAAAATATATTTAAAAAATTTAAAAAAATGTAACACCGGGAGGTCAGGTAAAATTAGGGAACCAGAAGCGGTGGAAGTTTTTTTTTGCTGGATTTCGCCGGTCGGGAATTTTGGGACAGACTTTGTTGGCGCTCGAAGAACTTATTTTCAAGTCTGTCCAGTGCAAAAGGAGATCAATCGGCGAAACTTACGGTCGCATGTACAACATGTTGCGTTGCAGACGATCGAGATTAATGAACCCGGACGGGTGGTAGCGTGTTTCTACTACATCTTTTTGTTTTGCTTCAGGTTTTTATTTTATTTCAACTCTTTAATATGTATCTCCTATGGCGAAGGTCAAGCGGTCGTCGTGTAGGAATGCACATGATATTCTCGCGGGGTCGTATCCGACAACGGCCGGTGGCAAACCGAATAAAATATTTTATACATATATATATATACATGTATTATTTATTTATACATTGCAACACCCGCTTGATTGGCCATCGACCAGACGCGTTGGAAGATTTCATAATACTTTTACTTCTAAAAAGAGTGTCCGGGAAATGCAGACATCATGCCGACAAAACAGCGTCCACCACTGTAAAATACACAACAGTGTAACGTAACTTGAACTTGCTCGGTTCGTCGGTTAAAGACAACAAATTTTAATAAATATATTATACGTGTTATGATGTGTTTATAACAAAACACAATAAATTTGAATATTAACTTGAAGTGTATGCGTCCACGAACTGTGATCAAGGCTGAGCTTGTTAACTGGATTTTTTATATTTACTTCGTTAAATTAAACAGTTACGTTAAACGTTTTGAATTAAGTTACAACTTAGGTTTATTTTTAATGGCATTTAACTCATGGCCATTTACAGCGGTTTGGCTTAACATTTTAATATAGCACAACCTATAGTTCCGGTTTTGTTGTACCATACTTAATTTTTAAACTAAACTGATGAGAATTGCTATTAAGCTATCTTAGGTAGGTGTAATTTTTTTCTTTCAATAACTGCAGTTTAACCTAAAAACAAGCTTGTACAAAATGTAAGATGAATTTGTATGACTTTATAAAAGTTACACATTATTCATGGGTCTATTATAAGAATTCACTTTATCTCGTTAAGTAACTAGATCATTTTTAATAGTAACTCGTTAATAATGTTAATTTTTAAACGTAACTCGTTAAATCGAGTTATTTTTTTAAAAGTAACTCGTTCATTAACGTTGTTTATTAACAGTGTGAAGTAGCTTTATTGAGTTATTACATGTTGGAAGTAATACCGAAGACAGTAAATGTTGAACTCGTTAAAATCTTTGAGCTGTACAAACATATTTTGTACTATTGATTGACTCGTTTCTATTTCAGTCTAACGTTTGATGTTTTATTTCTTTGTTTTTTCGTTTTTTTTTCAGGAAAGCGTGGACACGCCTATGGCCGAACGTCGCAAGAATTGGTTCCAAAGGCAAATTCACCGGATGGGATCGATCAGGTCGTCGTCGACCACGTACTCGTCCGGCGGTCTGTTCAACAGAACCAGGCACAATTCGGTGTACTCCAGTCCGGAAAACGGTATGCCCAACGCGGTCGCCGTCAACGGTCACGTGAACGGTATCAACGGCGCACACTTGCAGAAAATAACGCTTTATGACCGTCTTTGGGGCAGAAAGTCGATGAAGAGCCGACGGGGCAGCGTGCAAGGTGAGCAAAAGTTATTTCTGGCTAGTCTCTGCTAACATAGGCGGAGATGGCAGTATTACAAGTGAATTTTAGTTTATCCAATTAAAAAACTCCCACTTGGTTAGATTTTTAATTGCTTTTTAAAAAATTACGAATAAAGTATTACAGTTAAGTTGAAAGTAATGCTATATAAAACTGTATCTTCCCGTTAGTTTTTCGAAAAAAGACCAACGGTGGTTTTACAATTCGATTCAAGGTCAAGTTTCTAGTTAGAAAACCTAATATAAAAACTCATTTCGAAAAATTCCCCTTCTGGTTTGTTTTTTCTGCGTGCGTCACAGTATATACTACACTTGTAATCCGATAAACATTTCAAAGTATTTAAATGAAAAAAAAAAAGAAAAGTTTTTCAACTATAATATTAGAAAGCGAGTTTAGCAAGATAAAAGGTTTTTTTCAAACATATTGTTTTATATAATGGAGATTTTAATTTTTAACGCTTTTTCACCTGGATTTGACTAAAGCCAACTCTTTTTCAAACCTAATGACGGTGGGCTGTGGATGATATTAGTAAATTTATTTTCTGCTGGTTTTCAGAATTTTACTATATCTGATTTCTGTACAAAATTATAGAATAAATATCGTGTAACCAATTATGACACGAGTCATAGCTGAAGGTATGAAGTAGACAATAATATTGCTCAGGCGGAAAGTCATCGAATACAATGTTGTATAATGATAATTGACGGTTTTTTTGTGCATTAGGAGTATTCGTTTTAATAGATTAAAACACTTGGGCACCCGTGAAACGAAATCAATACAATTAATATTTATCAAAACTATTTGTAACTTCTTTTATGAATAACAATTGTTCGGTTAGGTTTAGTTTTGGCTGGTTCTACTTCAAGCTAGAGTTAATAATAATTGTTGTATATTTTATCAAAAGGATCGATATAATTGATGATAACCCGCAAACTCTAGTGGTCGTCTACGGATGGTATTTTTTCGAAAAACACGTGTAATTCGATTATTCGGTATCAATGTCGTTTCAAGGCCGCGCCGACTTAAGTTTAAGACACTAACCGCAACAACAGTAGCTGTAACTGACCCGGAATTTACCGCATATTTTCTCGATCCGATCAAATACGATTTCTTTGCGTCCAGTTCGACCGCAAAAATACCATATCAACGAATACAACTTTCTTGTGCCCTCTCTTTGAATTTTCGAATAGATACAAATGCAAAAATATTATTTTTATGCTAAATCACTACTGTCGTAATCGGCAAACAGCATATTTAGCGGTTTTCACTTTTTTCCGTTTGTTTTTTTTTTCAGCCCGACATAAATAATAATTAATTATAAGTATACCATGTGCGTAGAGGTCGCTTATGACGATTTTGATTATTCTTCCAACGCGACCAATTCTTTCACACATAACGTTTCTGTAAACATGACAATTACACCTATTTAAGTATTATTATTATTATTGATTGTGACCACTGTCCGAAGACGACTGCTATTGAAATCGATTAATTAACCGAACCCGCCACAATATTCCCAAGACTGTTAAAATAATAACGTGTACAGCGCAAATTACCGATTACCATAGACATTGCCGGCCGTCTTAACCCGAACACGTGAAGATATTAATCATTTCCACTTGGGTATTAATGATGTAATTACTCGTTAAAAACCATCCATTACATGGTTTTTATTATGCGAAACCAGCAGAGTCATCGTTGGTATTGTTGCAACGAAATTTCAAATCAAAACTAAACGCGAGACATTTCGCTCGAGTGATAATATTTTTGAGATTAACAAAAGAATTTTTTTTTTTTTAATTTACATTAAAAATACAGTCGGCGTATCATAATGGCCACTGATAACAAATTAAAGGCCGCGAATAGAACACGGTTAGGTTAGGTCGGCTTTGGTCACATTAATTGGTTAGGTTTACAAATTTCATCTGTTCGATGATGTCACAATTTTCGTTTTCTATATGTCGATGAATTTGGTTTTATATATTTGTACTCGTGTTGTTTTGCAAACTTTTTCCGTTTTCACTTGATACCCGTTGTTGATAATATTGATATCACGACCGAGCATTTAAATTAGCAATTGTAGGGGGTCTGTGCGGTTTAATTAGCTCATTAAATCGTCACGATTGTGTCGGCACAACACCGTTGTCGTGGCGAGAGCCCTTATCCAATGGAATCTACAAATTTCCTTATTTATTTTGATGCAAGTTGGTTACGCATTAGGTTCGATTTCGAAAACGTCTACACGAGCCATATTATATTTGTACAACACACGACAAGTAGACGCACTACGATTTATCTTTCCTTATCACGAAAAAGTTCTGATGGTATTATGCAAATAACGATTTTAACACTCAAGTGTTAATACTTAATGTTCATCAAAATTTGTAGTTGGGTTAATACGAAACATATACCGTTGTCTTGTATTTATTTCCCAAAATTCAACTCTGATTTAAAAATTAATGTTATATTTATTTTTCTAATTAAAAAGTATGTATTTGTACAAATTATTATCTGTTTAATGATAATTATTAAATAAAAGTTAATTTTAAAATAATACTTGCGATATTGTGTAGGTAAACTTTTTTTTTGAAAATATTGTTTTAATTAAAATTTGAAAAATTATTTGATTAAATTTTGTTTGACAAATTATTTGATTCGATTTTATGTAAAATCCAATGTTTGCAAAATTAGTTGCTTAAATATTATTTTAGCATAATACTTATTAGTAACATTTTTTGATTTGATTAAAAATTGTAAATATGATAAATAAATATATTTGATTATATATGATTGGGCCAGTTATTTGATCGGATTGTACGTTAAGTTAATTTTTGCAAAATTATTCGATTGAAAATTGTATTATCAAATAAAACTTTTTATCAAATTATTATCGTACACATTATAATAGGAAAAAAAGTGTCCAAATCAAATTTATTTTTTTTAAATAAAATTTCTAGTTGAAACGATTAACGTAGAAATACAAATTTTCAATAAAATTTGACCGATTAATTTTGCATAAACTAATCATACGTCGTAAAACGATTTTTGTCAAATCATACTATCTTCGAATGAAATACAAATAGTTTTGCCAATATTTTTACTATCTATTTTTACTTAAACAACGCCTTCGGTCTGAGGAACTTCGGTTTTCGCGCAGATAACCAAATTAGGTTGGGTCAGGTCACAGGTTAGCTCGCTCCACTCGCCCGGCCTTTTTTCGCATGATATCGGTAGATTTTTTTTTTCAAAATTTCTTTTCTCTATTTACGCTCTTCGATTGTTGTTTACAAGTAACTTGTACAAACGGACTGGACGTCCCGAGGGGTTCGGTTCACGCAATAAACGGCCATCACTATGTTATTACACACACACACACACATGTATAGATATATATATAGGTACATACTTTGGATACCGTTATGTCTGTGCCACATTCGAAACCGACATCGCACTATTTACAGATGATAAATTTATATATATATAAATTATTATTGTATCGATCGACCGTCTTGATGTGTGTGTGTTTTTTTTTTTTTTAAGGATCTAACAAGATGAACGCCAGGGGTAGGCCTAGGATTCCTACACCGGACGTGCAAAAGGACGGTTGTGTCGCCGACAAGGACAGCAACGTCAAACAGAACTCATCAGTCAACGGTTCCGTTCAGCCGGGACAGTATTCGTCGGACATACCGGTTGTACAGGTAATAAAAAACAATTGTAAAAAGTCATAACCCACCGTGTTGTTTACCTAGTATACGTCTTGTTAAGCCCCGTAGCAACGGGAAAAGCATTTTCATTATTATCATCATCCTATAGCTTCGATGCGAAGCCGAGAACTTTAACGATTACCTATTAGGTATGGATGTTCAAATAATTGTTGTTTTAACTAATTTCTTATTAGCTGTGTAAAATGATTAAAAATTCATGTATACACGTATTGAAAAAAAAAAACCGGAAAAGTATATTCGAATAAACGCTTCGATGCGAATCTGTACTTCTGTAGACCGTCGAATGTATAATATAAATTAATATAATAAATGTAAATTAGTGTATGAAATTTGAAATCAATTTCTAATTGCTGATTTAAACTGTAGCGATAAGGTAAATCTATAACCTGGGCGTTATTTAAATGCGTTCATTAAGTATAGTTTTTAAGTTATTTAAGTACAAATTACACCACCGATTATTTAAAATAAAAATGTATTTTAATAAAAACATATAATAAATACAGTTTTATTTTAATTTGAACAAAATATATCGAAATAAGAATTTAAAACTAATTTTTATTTGAACGAATTTAAATAAATTTCCAATATTATCTTTTAACAATTTTGTACTCCATTAAAAATGGAAATAATAATTTAAAAAATAAATTTGTATTTAAAACATTATAGAAAATAACAAGTTATTCAAATTTATTTAAAAAAAATGTTATTCAAATTTTTAAACAACTAATAATTAATTATTTTTAAATTATGATTTTTTTAAATAAAAATGCCCGGGGTTGCCAACAATAATAATAATACAACTATTGGAATAGCTCTAAATATATGTTAGGTAATTAAGTTTTTAAAATACTAACAAAATATCCCGAACCTTGAAATTTATAAATTTATTATTATAAAAAAAATAACAAATATGGATTTGAAGTACGTTTTTTTGTTTAGCTCGGTAAATACTAATTATACTACATTTGCTGTACATTTTAATTTATTGTCCGGGGTGTAAAAATGTATTTGGAATTATTTTTTGAACATTTATTCAATTGGAAAATAATACATTTATACACTATTTGTTGTGTTCTCATTGAAATACACTGTTGATTTTTAATATTCAAATAAAATATGGAAAATATTTTGAATAGGTTTTTGAATTTTTATTTAAATAATGTTCAGGTTTACTTGCGACGTACTAACAAATATATTTAGGAGATTTTCAAACACAGGTTAAACTCGAACTGACAATTATTGTTATATTATTATGCATGTTCCCCCACATTTGACAAAATCAAGTTTAATAAGGCGTAGAAATGAGACACCGCGTGTGTGTACGAACAACTTGAAAACTCATTATGTAATATTACATTCTTTAAAAACAAAAAAGGGTCTACAATACTTTTTGTGTACAACGTTATAATATGTGCGCCCACGTAAACTTATCGAGTCTTGGATAAAATAATAATAACATTAAAAAAAAATGTCTGTAATATCCAAACAAAATTAACAGTCGTAGGAACCCAAGTTTAAATAAATGTACAAATATATATTTGTATATATATATATATTTTTTTTTTTATCAATTTGTTCTGTTGTTACAATTACAATCGCACATCCAGCGGGTTTTAATGCTAATAGTTTTGGTGGACTAGAACTTAAAAAAAATAGTCATCGTCGGCGTTTTACACAAAAATACAACAACAATGGCCGTATCGAATTACAAGTCGTTTATTTTTTTATTCAATTACACCATATACCACCTACCCCTTTTGCCTAGTAGACGTGTCGGTGATGAGTTTGAGATTTTTATTTGTTTTCTTCTTCTTATAATTGCCAAGACCGTCGAGACCTTGAACGTGAGTGTTTTATTACAACAAAAATAACGATCATACGTTTAACGTCGGAATAATTATTATGATAATAATATTTAATTCTAGAGATTCGGTGTATTATTGTTTTACTGAGGATATTTTTTTTCATTATATAACTTGTTTGGAACTGTGCGAAAAGTCACGTTTCGTCGACCGAGCAACCGGTAGTTACCGCGCAGTGGAAATTGTAAATTATACATACATTAGAATTTTATTACAAAATACATAGTATTTTATGTACACGTCTAATCGATGTGAAAAGACTACCGGCGATTAATACACATTACGGTGTACGCATTTATTTTACTATAAAATACCAAATACCTAGTCCTGGGGGGGGGGAGGGGGAGAAAAATGTCTATTGAGATTTGTAGATTGTAATCTAAACCTATTACCGAAACCAGTATAATATATTTAATCTTGGCGAGTCGGAGTTTATCAGTTGATTCGATTTACTCAAACAGTAATAATTGTGTAACATATATATATATGATAAAACAGGTTATTGGAAACGGTCAAATAAAAATCGATCCCATTCTTTTAAACGATAAATAATAAATGATTTCAAATACGTTGCCTATGTTATAATTTATAATGATTCTAACGTTGTATATTTTGAACCATCTACAGATTCGCATCGAAGTTTCTTTTTAGAAAGATTCCATCGCTCAGTTATAACCTTTAACTGATATAATAAATGATCCTTTGACAGTAACGATCTTGCTACTGATCCTGTACTGGCTTTTTTTTAAAGGACCAGGGTCCTATACTTGTATATTATATCCATGGTCCTATGCGATTTCTGTGCAGCGGAATTACACTTTTACATTTATTCTTCTTCTCGTATCGCGTCCTCTACTGGGTTTTTTTCCAATTGTGTATCCCTTCCTATTGCCATATGACGGGGTTAAGAAAAATATGTAGGCATATTTTAAAAAGTCAATTTATCGACAGGCAAAGTCGGGTAAGTCATAACCTCTCATAACCAGATGACAGCAGCACAATACACAACAGCGTTTATTCCCCTCGTATTGGAATTTCTCCAACAGCGTGACCCTTATCTTTCGCCCTGTGCCATCAGCTTAATAATTGCGATTTTACCCAGGTGGTGTTGTCGCCCATTCAGGAGATGGACCCCAACCTGTCGGGCACGTTGAGACACCAACACCGGGCGGCCAACGGCGTGGCCACCAGCGTGCTGAACCCGGTGTTCTCCACGGCGGGGTTCGCCGGCCAGACGGTGTTCACCACTCGACCGATGTCCGTGTCGGTCAGCCCGATCGCCCTGTCCACGGTGACGATGAGCCAACCGCTGCTGACCTCGCTAGGACTGAGCGGTCACCGTTCGTCGTCGACGGATCCACCGGCGTCACCGCCACTCGTGCTCACCGACATCACCTCTTCCGGCGTGCCGCACTCGGACAAGGACGACAGCGCGTGCGGCGGAAGTTCCAGCGGAAGCGTGTCCAGCACGGACGAGCGCAAGACGCCGGCGTCCAACAGGCGCAAGAGGGGCGAGGTGTACGTGTAGCCGCCGGGTGACGAGATAATCGAGCTAATCCGGCCCACTGTCGGTACTTTGATTCAAAAAACTCGATTTAAATTTTTTCCAAAAAAAAAACCGCGTTCCCAGGTGGTTTTGAGCCGAATTTTGGTTTTCTAACCGTAAGTAGACACGAAGGTGTATTGTCCTTGCGAGCCGTCTCGCATTGATTTAACATTTCTATGATTTTTTTTTTTTTTTAATATATTATTAGTATTTTATTATTATCGTTAACAAATTGTGATACGCCCAATCAAAAGATACGCCGTCCGAAACTTCAACCAGATTGTATTACCTATATTATTGTATTCTACTATTATGTTATATTATTTTAGAGTCTAGCCTAAGTCCAGTCTTTAAACAGCGGACAGCGATAAGAAATAGTGTATTGCGACAAATGTTCCTTCTGAAAAAAACAAAAAAATCTAATAACAACGGTAAAGATATGACTATATTATTGTTGTTGTTGAAATAGATATTGTATTTGTAAATGCATCGCGTGTACAGTTGTTTATAATCGGAGTATATTATAGTATTATTATTAAGTTAAGTAGTCTATGAAATTGTATAATTGGATATTGTAAAGAAAGAAAAACAAGTGTATTTTGTACTAAATCATTGTTTGTCAATATTTAGGTACTTACCTATTTATTATAGTTTGGCGATATCTGTGATAGATAGTTGAAAACCCTTTTTTTCAATTTTTGTTATTTTCATTTATTCTATTTTCTAGATAAATATTATTATTTAAAAGTTTAATGTATAAATGACTAACCTGACGATACAATTATTGTAATATATTATAAATATATAATCGCGCTAATTAAAACAACTCAAAAAGAATATTTATTTTGTAATAATTATACTGTGATTCGTATGATGTGTAAATTCTAGGATGTTATCAAAACATTATGAACACATGACAAAGAAAAAATTGTACTAAATCATTATTTAATAGTAAAACGGGTTTGTTGGATTCGGGACACAACCGTTTACTAAGTTCGGTTTAAAAACAACAAATAATTCTCCACAAAGTGCAGTTGAGTCCTTTCTTAGTTTTCTAAAACTATTCGATTTATTTAAACTATAAAAATAACCTCATGGATTTCTTTTGTGTTTCTTCTGAACTCCTCTTTACTCTTCGGCTGTTTATTTTACTAAATTTAATTCCTGCACACAATTAATACAATGTAGTCAACATAATATTCGCAACAGCCAAAGGTATGAGATATAGACAAGAAATAGATATTACTCAGACAGGAAGTCGCCGAATATAATTGTATGTAATGATAATTATTGGTTTATTTTTCGGTTAAGTGCATTAGGAATATTTGTTTTAATATGGGAAAATACTTTTGGCCACTGTGAAATGGAATCCATACAGTTAATATTTATTTATCCAGTCACTCCCAATAAAATGTTTTGTCTTTAGTTAAGGCCATTAAAAATTTGGTAAGTTTACATGGTTATTGTAATGAACTAAAGTGGTCAATAATATATTATTTGCTCGTCAGCATACACGCTATATGTAAATAATATGTATACAGTTGAGTTTGGCATTATAGTCAATATATTATCATTATTACTATTAAGAACTAAAAATAAAATACATTTTTTTTTTTACCTGGCCCGACAGCACTTTAATATAAATTGATAATTTCTATGTATGTAATGGGTTTCTTTTTCAAATTGTACAATAAAAGATATATATCATATTTTGGACCTATACTAAATACCGGTTGTTTTGAATGGTCTTAAAACTAGATTTTTATGCGAATTTAATGATGCGAGAATTGTAAAAACATAAAACATTTTTTTTTTATTTTGTAATGAGGATTTGTATAGCAATTTAATAACTCTACCAGAATTCAATAGTAATAACTCTAAGTCTATCGTTTTAAATCGAAAGACAAGAGTAATAACCATTTCGATCTTGTACCACATTATATTTCGTTTATAGACATTTTATTCTAAATTCGAAAACAGGACTCTTCTGAATATAATTGCCTATCTAAACCTATTGAAACCAAAATGCCATATTGGTGTTTGCGAATAGAAACTTACTTGTTACTACTTTTCTTTATGATGCAGGACACAACTATCTTATTTATTAAAACGTAGTCATAAAAAAAAAAATAAAGTGTGCATGATGTCCGTATCGTACAGCCATGCTATTTGTATTACAAGAAACTAGAAAGTATGTGTTAGTAATCAATAGTGATCACTTACTTGGATAATTGTTAAAAATTAAAATTGGTTATATCCTTGTTATATTGTATTGAATAATTCCTATTAAATTCTCATTAACTGGGTAAAAATAAAAACAATTTTGAAATTGTTTTTTTTTTTAGTTCTCTCAAAAATTTTTTTCAAGGTAGTTTTAAATGAAAAATTTTATTTTTTATTAAAATATAGCAGTTGTTTATTTTTTTAATAAAAGATGACAATTAATATAGATCATTGAAACAAACTGGCAGTTTTTAAGGGGTTTTGTATAGGCAACCATTAAATAAAAGATTTTTTTTGTTAATTTGTTATAAAGTAAACAATGTTATATAAATTGTCCTTTTTATAATTTTTCATTAATTGGCCTATACATTAGATTGTGATAAAAAAATATGTTTTTTCGTCTAAAAGTAATAAGTACAACACAGAAAACCATTTTCAAAAAACAACAGCAGTCTTACGTAGAAACAAAATCAATGTCACTGCTACTATTAGCTGCATTTTGACCGGAAGCATTTCTTTTTTTCATTGCTAAAAAACAACAAAAATCCATATTTAGCTTACAGTATAGTACCAATTTTACAATTTTACCTTCATTTCATTGATTGTAATTATTACTATATTTTAAACTATTTATTTGGTAAATTTCAAAAATTACTTAACAAAATAATTTTTTAATGTAAAACCATATTGAGAAAAAGTATGTACCTATGTAATGTTTTTTAATTATTATAATTGATACGATTAGCTAAATTTACAAAAATACGATTTTCTTTCAAATATTAGTACATTTTTAGAAAATTGTTATTTGTGGCCTAAATGAAATTCAATTTGATTTTATATTCTAATTATGTTTAGTAATTTTTATTAGAATAATTTGTTGGTATTGCCCTTTTATTCACAAAACGTAGATTGCATACCTATTTTAAGGATCAATAAAAAAAGTTAACTACTGACCTGATTCCATGGGTGTCGGCAAGAGGTATTTTTTTATGAAAAAAGCCAAACAAGCATACACGAATTCGTATTGTGCCTAAAAAAAGACAAAATGTGTATATCTACAGGTCATCAAAAAAGAGCTTTCCTAAGGAAAAAAAGCTAAAAGTCATTTGCCAAAAGTTGCAACACTTCTCATATTTCAACTCGAACTTGTTTTACGGCTAGGGGTCAGTTCAAAATTTACTGAACACTTCCCAGTAAGATCAAAATCTGTCCCATTGTTGGTCTATAATGAGAGGTATGGAACGATGATTAGAAATAAGAAGTGATAAGTGATAACGAGGGTGATAAGTGATAAGGAGTGATAAGAGAAAAGACAAGATGATACGTTTTTAAGAATGGGTGGGTTTCATAAGACAAAACTACTCATTTTTTTGTGTGTTTGAAAAGGATGAAATGTTTCTTAATAAACTATTTTTGTCTACAAGAATATATCAAAAGCTTTACTTGTGTTTGGACCATGTTTGTTCGTTGCTCTCGTAATTTCAACACGGTTTTGAACACGTCCAGTTTTGTCCTTTCGTTTATTTGACGCAACAAAATATCACATGCGATAAACGTGCCTGTTCTGCCAATGCCCGCACTGTAATACGGATCGAATGAAGTGTTTAATTTATTTTTTAATGAGCTTTTCGGTAAAATAATAAAAAAATCGACAGAGGCGAAATGGGCAAGAAAAAAATGGCCTAGAAAAATTGACCGAGGAAATTCAATCCGCAAATCAAATAACCAATACTTGGTCTTAGTATCAATTTTAACGACAAGATATTATTTTATATTATAAATTATTTGACGCACAGAATATTATTCTGTGTATTATATTATATTTAATATAGTGAAAATAAGTATTCAATTTTTCCCTTAAAGGAAAGATCTTTGGTTCATGACCATGACTTATGACCAGCTGAGTGCCGACTCTTTTTTCAATGATGTCTTACTAACTGATTTTTTTTATCAAACATTTATTATTAGTTGATTCTCTTTACAATAATTGCTTAGCAGTTGATGACGTCATCAATTGACACAAAAAAAGCGTCTTACGAATTTCGGATAGAGTATTATTTGTATAATTATCGTAGTATAAATTAGCAAAAATATATATTTTATTGGTTTTTTTAATATCTTATCCAATTACTCAATTAAGCTTCAGTCAATTTTTCTTTGGACATTTTTATCCAGATTTGTTGGTACCTGCAGTGCACAACGATCAAACCGGCTGGTGCTTTCGCTTGTACTATTTGGCAAAACTTCACCATATCCGACGGTTGATTGGGTACCCCAAAATCTGGCCAATAATGAAACTGAAAATGCCTTATCGTTTTCTTTTTTTCTCCCTAAGCATAATAATAAAATACGACGGTTAAAAGACGAAACAACAATAGCCATTACAACGCACATATAAGCACTAAACTAGCTTTTAAAGTCAAGTCCGATGGGTATCTAATTTTCTGTCTCTTATCAATTATCTCTTATCAGCTAATACCCTTATCATTAATTTCTTATCCGTCATTCCTTTTTAACTGATACAGTTATCAGTCACTACTTATCAGCTGATACTGTTATCAGTAATCTCTTATCAGTTATCAAACGACGATTAGGCACTGTATAATGAAAGTCTAATAGTTTAACGATATTTTTGTTAGTACTTTGAAACCATATGAAAAACGCATATTTTGTTCAAGGCATACTTTTTTAACTGTAATAATTCGCGTAGTGTACGAATGCTCGTTGTCAACAATCATGACGTCGTTTTCCACCTGAACGTCGCCGAACGTTAACTTCTCTTGGCTGTCGGGATAGTACTTATCGCATTTTATCTGAAATTAATTTAACTGTAGTAATTTTACCGTCTTTGTACGGGACAAAAGGCGAGTAAACCACTGGAAATTCCCCACTTGAATTTCGATAAAAATTGTTTTAATAGCGAAATTTGACTTCTTGAAAAAGTGTCTTTTAAACAATCTTTACCTTGCCCTGTTCGGTGATTTGGCATAACATAACAATTGCAGCAACGTCCACGTCCAGTATCATTTGCCACATATCAGCACACGTATTCTTAATAGGTCCTTGACAAGCTACATACTGCCAAGTACCTTTGTAATCCTAAAAAAACGATAAATATTATAAAGATTTACTTTATACATAATGTAACAATTATAGCGCAAGCCCTTCGATTCCATACAACATATGTACTATCAGGTGGTGAAAACAAATTAAAAATAAACTGTGTAAATGTGTCACTTGTCGGGTAAATATCTAAAGCAGGTGATACTCGTATATAGGGAAAAATACTATTTACCCTATATACCACAATATTTTACTATTTTTGCTATTTTATTATCATTCCTGTTATCAGCTGATTTATCCTTATCAATTGGCTTTCCTATAACTATGATATCATCTTATAGCTGATTTCATCAACATTTTCACGACGGGACACATCACTTTTTACATTCAACCAACTTTTTAGCCTTTTCAACTCTTTAACGAAATTTACCAGAGTCCACAGACCTAGAAGAATTGTAACTAGTTAAAAAGACCAGCATTTGGCGCAAACACCGAGTTTTGTCAATTAGGAATATGCGAATCGATGAAAAATCCTTAAAGTCGTTTTGAAAATCATATCGTATATTATAATGCAATAATAATATGCAACACATACCGGTCGGTTTATGAAATATGATACTCACTTCTATGTACGACGCGTTAATGTAATCTCCGTCGGTGGAATTTATCGTCACTCTGTTGTAATCGTCTGCGGGACAAAATCAACGACAGCGAATCAACCACTTAATTATTGTGCGTGCTCTATGCACTCTTTGAAAGATCATTTTTTTTTTGTTTAAACATTCTTACACGGCAGTATGTTGATGTAACGGTTTTTCGATTTGTTCTGAGGCATCAACGCCACGTCGGTCGTGGCCGGGTTTTTCGCGTAGTCTGTCAAAATATTAAATTCCGATTCGATCTGCTGCGGGCTTTTGCTCAACAATTGCGCATAACTCATCTCGCCGAACAACGGGTACTCGCCCTCGGCCATCTGAATCGTTTTGTACGTCACTATCCTACGATAAAACGGTTGTTTGAATAAAATGGAAAAATATATGTTTATATTCAAAAAATTGCAATCGAATCCACTGGCACGTACCAAGGAACGTTTTTATTCAGGACGCAACATATGCCCGTGGCCGTGATGAACACCGCGAAGAGGACGCTGCACAGGACAAGGTAATACACTGCTGTCGGCTCGCCGGCTGATAAAGGAAATTGGAAAAAAAAAAGATACTTTATTACAATATTACCATGTCAATGTGGCTAAGCGATTGCCGTCGTCAAAACGAATCGACCTGTGTGGTTACATTTCTGTTGACGGTTTCAATAACCCTAGTAACGGCAATGTGGTTTGAGCTCTTTCTCTTTCCCTCCCCTCAAGTATACTCGGCACGGGTATGTAACTATGAAAATTTAATATATTTCACTGTGAGGTGACCGATTAAATACACATTTACATTTTCCAACAAAAATATTAGATCATAAACAACATGATGTCTTGTGATATTATCCAAGGACTATCGGTTTACCCTTACCACTGTCCTATTCTCATTACCTTCCCTCCCTCTCATGTCTTAGGTTTTACTTACCCGGGGGTAGGGGCTCTCTTATGGAGGTCTTACGTGGACAATTCAAATCTTTTTGCTAAGAAAAGTACCTATATTACAATCGTATTACTCACGCGTGGTAAAAGGTACCGCCCAAGAATCTTGGAACCCGTGTTCGGTGAAAGCTCTGAGCTTTAACCTGTAATCGGTAACTGGTCTGAGTGGTCCGTTGCAGTAATCGCTCCTATCGCTAATTCTACACGTCATGTCGGCACCGACGTCGAAACTCACTTCTGTCGTTTGATCTAAACACGTTTAATAATTGTCATTATACAACATGTGACTGGCATTAGTGTCACACATGTTAACAGATCCCCGTGAATAGACCTGAGAAGCATTGGGTTATAACTATATGCAGTTTACCTTATTCTTAGGTCTTAAGGGATGCACAATAGACATGCACCGTGGATAAAGATACCATTTGATTTACCGATAAAAGGCATCCAACCGTTCGCGGTTGTCTGGTAGGCCAATATGAAAGGATACGGAGACGCTTCCGCCCATGTTCGCATTTTGGGCGGCCAAATTCCAAAAGCGGTCCTTTCGCCTTTTTCCGGTACGTCAGGAAATCCGCCGTCTTGGTACACTATTATCGAGTAAGACCTGATTGTGCCGTTGATGTTCGAAAACAACTTGGCCGACAAGAACACCCGTACTTGAGTGAGCTGATTTTCGGACACCGTGACCCTGAGCGAACGGTAAGTCTCGTATACATTTGGCGGTCCGGGGCCTTAAAAAATTGTGAGCACATGGACAGGTTAGGTTGACAACAGGTTGTGTCAATAATTCGTTCTTGATCAAAATATGTATTCCTATACACAGTGTCGCAACTAGGAAGGGGGTGGGGGGTACACGGCACCCCTGAGTACAGTTTTCAAAGGTGTCCTGATGTCAAGCATTTAAAAAATACTTTCCTAAATTTTTACCCTCAGTCGATACTGTTTAATTTCAACTAAACTATCGTTTCAATAGAATTAAGAGATGTGCCAAATCATTTTAACTTTTCAATATCATAAAATATAACGAACATGGAGCAGACATAATTAAATCATGTTTTGATGTTATCCATATATTTTCTTTAAAAATGTTTAAAGGAAAAATGAAAATAATCAAAGAATTATATTTATATTTAGTACAAAATTACCTATATGAACGATAATTTCTAAAAGTTCTAAACTAATTAAACAATTTTTAAGAAACGCAACATCTCAAGACCAGTCAATAAACATAAGTATCATAAACGTAGAAAGTGTTTGCACTTATCCTAATCAACTATGCAAATGAATAGATAAAATCGAATTTCATATGATAATAACTAATAAGTCATATGTTTTGTATCACACGGTTGCAGTAGTGAAACAAATTAAAAATATGCACCAGAGAAATGTAATTTCGTCATTCTGGTCACACTGCAACTAGCCTTTACGCTTACTTCATAACATTTTACATACTTGTCGACAGAGTGGTAAATTGGATGGTTTTGTCTTGTCCCGGCGGTTCGACGCCAAACGTTATTGGAGCCACGGTAAAGTGGTAGCTGTACTCGGGCGACAAATTGTGGAAACTGTACTCGAGTTTCGTTTTATTTTCCTGAACAAAAGTTATAGTTGTCTTAGACGAAAGTCGCCTTGACTGAATAGCACATAGTACATAATACTATGGTGTGATCTACCCGTGGTCACCGATGACCCTGTCAAGTACTTACTATTATATCGTGTTTGCTGCTAAAATACAGACCCTTGAATCCTTGCCTTTCGCCTACCATAGTGCTATGGTAAAATGCTATTTTACCGTTGGGTTCGCACGGTTGCTTCCAACTAAGAGTGACGGATGTGGATTTTAACGTTACGATCTCCAAATCAACAACCGCCGAACTAGCTGCGGATGAACTATTATTGTATAAAATCGTTATGTGGTAAAAATTTTGGAAAACCCCAAATAAACATTATCACTAGAAACGTTAAAATAAAGTCAGAACAATGAAGAAAAATGGTATTAAGAGTAAGACAGCCTATTATACAGAACATTTGGAGTTTAAGTTAGTTAGTACCGAGGAGGCGTAGAGATTAGATAATCTGCTTTAGTTTGTGGTATGGAGTGTAGCGAAATTTTGAGATAAGTTATCCAAGAGAATAGAGAAATTGAAGAAGACTCAAGATTTAAATAAATTGTAGTTAGATAAGGAGAAAAGAAAAACAGTCAAGCCATGAAGATGGCATTTAAAGTAAAAGGTAATTTATTATGAAACTGTAGTGAGGCGAGAAATTCAATATGGAACTGATGGTTGACCGTTATGACATAAAAGATGAAAGGAACGTGCAAGTAAATCATATGAGAACGTCGAGATGGATGTATGGAGTTAAAATATGAAGATTGCCAGTAGCGCGAATAACCGAAAAAATAAGATTAGTTGAGTGGTTTGGGTATGTTGATAGTTAAGAGGAAAATTATATGCTTAAATACTGCTAACTATTCGTTATTTTTCTTCTTCGCCATATTCCTTAGAATTGGATCCCAGCCAAATCCTCTTTTTTCCCGATATACTTCACTATTCGTCAACATTTCTCCATCAGATATCTCCACCCTACTCCTACCTCTACCTGGTGTCTCTACTAAAATCTCTGAAGTTCATGGTATTTTTTTTTATACATTTTAGTAGCTAATTCTTTTCATTCTACACCTCTAATAATCGGATCAGCGATGGATAGAGAATTTTCTATCCATCGTTATTTATGTAGGGTTTCCACACATCTTCATGACTTTTTTTATCACGCCCAGCCGCTTTTTCCTGGGTCACTTTCTTTCTTCTATCAACATGCTCGGATCATTTTAATATATTCTTTCTTAAATCCACTGCTCTTCGCATAAATCTAGTCCAGCCTAAGCATTCTATACATTCTTTCAGACATCTCGCATCAGCTAATTTTCTCTTAATTTTAAAAGACACTTTTAAGAATGCTGCCATATTAAATAACAGACAACAGTCCCGCCAAAGAGCTTCAGCACAACGGTAATTGGTTTCTCGGAGACGTAATATTACTAAAATTACTTGTTGGCGGTGTCCTTATAGTGACTGTCGATAAATTCCCATGGCTGTTCATCGTCACAGCACATACATTGATTTGATATTTGCTCGCTGGTCTCAAGTAGTTTTTGATTTCATATTGATACAATTTATTATCTGTAGAACAATTTTGTTGTTATTAAATAGCTGAACGTATGCGGTATTATTAATAACAGTCCGACCTTGATTGGGATTTTTTAGTTTTATGTCATACAAATAGGTATCCGTACCATGGCCTACTCGGTCGTAGGTGTATTCGTCTTTTGTTGGACACGGGCAATATTTGTGTACTTCATATAGATAGCTTTTAAATACCACAGTCAAGCGGTATCCAATAATGTTGTCTTCCGTGCTTAGGGGCGGTATCCATTGTAAGTATATACTTTTTAGGGATATCACCGTCGCCGTTAGATTCTCGGGTGGTCCCAAAACTTTGAAAACACACAATGTCAATAATGGATTATTACAAAATAACAAAAGCCAGCTTAACGAAGCAAAGAGGTCAAACAATTTTTTACTCTTTTACAGTATTGAAATTAGACCAGACAAAGCCATACAATTTTGACACTGTTAAGTATTTTTTACCACCAAAATGGATTTCACTCATGAAAAAATGAAAAAAATTACTTCTCAACTTAAACAACATTCAGAGATACAACACTTATAAGAAATGGTGTTTAAGAGTCTGGGTCCTACGTTCCCTTTTGGATCTTGGATTATACATATTGTTAGGTTATTAAGCTTACATAATTCGAACAACTTAAGTGTTTGTGCTGGCGGTCACCGAACAACTCGACTTTATTATCATGATGAATCTTATCTAATACATACACATAAATATATATACATAACACATACTATATTATTGAAGGTCTTATGTAGTTTAAATAGGTAAATAATACCTAGTGAAATACTTCGAATTAACCTTAACGCTCGTTTAATCCGTCTGTGATCAACGACCGTTATATTACTGCAAATAACATTTTTTTTTTTATAATTTATAATTACCTGACTGATTGTGCGGAACAGAACCTATGTTATCTATTTCATGTGCAGCTTTTGTATTGACCGTGATCGACAGAAAGTAAACGGCCGCTACGAAGGATAATAATATGTTGTTCATTATAGGAATGTACTATGTACTTATGTATAACTAAATCAGCATTCTAGTCACAACAGATAATTTTTTAATTGAATCACTGCATTCAATTTTAACATCAAAAGTTATTAATTAAAAATGAAAATGTTAAATTTGTCAAAAAAAAATACTATAAAGTCATTTATTTGCAGCCCGTTTCGATCACAACGTGTATTAGCTGTTTGGATAATATTTATAATTAATGAACACTATAAAGTTATCACAAGTATGAAATCAAATTGTGACAAGGTGGTGATCTGTAGACATTACACATTTAAGACTACAAATTGAGAAACATTTTTTTTTATTATTTAAAAAAGATAGATAAAAGGTCGGACAAGTCAAACTGCATAGAACGATCAACATGACAAAACGAATGCTGTAAAACATTTTACTTTGGTTCCACAAATAGAATAGCCTTCAATTATTGCGCATGAGTATTTTTATTTTTTTCCGATATCATTTTGAAAAAACAAACTTACACATACAACTAATAATCGTGTACAAACAGCAGTTATATTCAGGCATTTGAAACTTTGATTTAGGTACGTCCAACAACACCTCCCTCTCCCCAAGAGCATCTGCCTACATATAATATGGAAAATAAATTCAATGTTTTTATGCAACGTTATCAACTTAAATATACATTTATTTTTTTTTTTTGTAATCTTATCAAAAAAAAAAAATGACATTTTGTCACGCGACAACATCTTATAGTTTTGCCTGTCGGCTAAGAAATATATTAACCTTATACTATTTATATTTGAACAACTACAACGTCACTGACGCAATTAGAGATTACTGGTATTTTTTTTTACTTTTATAGTTTTTAAAATTATAACAAATAGAAAATAAACGGAGAAAATATCTCCGTGTGTTGGTAAAATTAGTTAACTTCTAAAATGTTTATGTACTACAAAAATAAGAGTTTTGTGATTTGTTTATACATATTTTAATGCATTCATAAGATTCAAAGCACACACAATATGATTTATTTAAGACATGTGTTTTATTATTCGTAAACTACACAATTAATATTATAATAATTATTTGTTTAACACTATAAGTTATTAGCTATGAAATATCTAATGTCTTACTCTATAAATTGTCAAACTAGTTATTTATATTAATTAAGATTATTGTGTTTTATTTTTCTGCAATTTATCATGTACGGTAAACATTTACAAACACATTTAATACTACAGTGTTGTTTTAGGTGTTTAAAACACATTTTAAACACATTCTAATTACAATTTAAATTTGGAACAACCCAAGTCTCTAACTGGTGTGCTGATGATCATGGTGAGTGATCACGAGTGTATTTCTTTACCCCTTCTCAGTGGGTTGAGTCATTTTATATAATGTTTGTGATATTACAATTTTTTATATTATGTGTGTGCAAACGTATTATTTTGTGCATAACCTTTTATATAATATTTATGACAAATATAATCGATACTAATCGAGTTTAAAATGTGCAACAAAAATAAAGTCAAGTATATTGTCCACCACTATGGATATGGACTGTGGTGAATAAAGTTGTGCAAACAATGTTTGAGTGTACAATTAAGATTCATGTAACCACGGTGGGTTTTATTTTTTGTTGACTTTGTCTATCGAAGTACAAACGTATTACGAAAAAGTATATTATCTCAAAAACGCTGATTATGCTACAGCCGAGGAATAATCCCAGAAGTCCTCCAATGTTACCTAAAATTCGTAAAAAAAAAAAAAAATTATTATTAACTTAATATAAATATGTTTATTGCAGTCTTTATGAAATATTACCCAGAAGTTCGTTGAATGGAACCAACGCAGTTCTTTGTGCGGCCAATACAGACTTTCTTTTGTAATATATATTTGTCACTGCTACGTCTTCACTCCTGCACATAAGCAATAATTATTATAATAATAACGTTATAACTTAAAGTGCAACAAGACCGAAACTTAAAAAATATAATTAACACCGAATTAGGTGGAGAAAATGTTTAAACCGAATGCTAATACTTCATTTAACGATCAAGTACATTTTAAGTAAAACAAAAAAAATATATATATATAAATAATTGAATAATGCGCAACTCTTATTATTATTATTACAAACTGAAGTTAAAATGATTATCATTTAAAAACCACACCAAGATTTTTTATAATAAATATCTTTTTAAATCTTAATGAATTTACTCGATTTATTATTTACTCATTTACTGATTTACTTATTTATAACAGCCTAAAAGCATTATCACGCGTCAACTTAGCTTTAACTCAAAATTTCACGTTTTTAATTATTACAAACATGAAAAAATAAGTCACACGAATTATATGTTCGACAATCGTATTAAAACCATCCCACAGATCCGTTTAGTACTTATACACTCATGTTATCACTTATAAATAACAATATTTTTAAAGGCATGTAAAATTATGTACCTAATCGAATTCGTTTCTTTATTTGTCTAATTTTTTTTTTGTTTTAATCAACTATTTCTACATATTATATTATTTGTTTTAACAGCCTTATTGTGTAATATCTAGAAATAAACACAAATTTATTTGGAACCGGTAGGAACGCGATAAACTATTGAATGCCTTGAACTTGTGTTTGATCATTCGTTTAGTTTAAATTATGCACACACACACATAGACTTGTATACGTGTTCAGATTTCTCTGTCTGCATTAAATTATTCATATCAAGACAGTATTGACTCACGATGAATATGTTCTCTAGGCGTTTATATAATCGTCGTAGATGACAGTTTCGACATATTAAACTACACTAATATTAAACGCGGTGAATTTTCACTAGATTGTTCTTACTGTTTTAATTTCGAATTGCTCGTGGTCCAGTTCCTGAATATTTTCACAACGTCGTAATCGTATCTATAGTCTGTGCAATCCGGTAAACAATGGCAGTCTTCGTCGATGGGATCCGGCGTATCGAAATTCTCGTGAAATATAGAGAACCCTGTAAAACACTCAACAGATTAACATATTATCACAATTATTATGATGCTGTGCAATTTGTCTTTGGCCAAAATCCGATGGAATACTTGCCGTTGGTCGAAGACAATTTGTAACAACGGTAATTCTCGGTGCCGCATATCGGCACGTCGGGATCTCCTTTGAAACACAATCAACAAAAATATGTAAAAAGTAGATTGTCCTTAAAGCGAAACATCTGGTCCTATAAAAAGTAACCCAGGCATTTAATTGTGCTCCGGCGATGTGGACATATAAGAAAGTTGTTACACATAAGACCCAAATCTACACTGCCCGTTCAACCAACTCCACACGAATCCGAAAGAAATTTTACACAGTTGTGAATTCAAAATAGACATTTGATGCGGTCAGCTGTTGTTTTGTACAGATTATGAACGCTAGTTTCTTACTCGGCTGATAATAAGCAGCACATCCACACCTCTGAAGCGTTTTGTTAGTCCTGCATTCGATTTCGCAGTTGTGGGCCGTGTAGAATTTAAAATACTTCAAACTTCTCTCGTGTTGAAAGTAACAGTTCCGAACGTTGGGCGGCCATTTTGCCAACGACCGGGATGTCGGTTTGTATGTGATCGCCATTGATATGGACAGCAAACGATTGCCGGTGGTGTAAGCCGAGGGTTGTAGGCCGATCGGTGTATCCGACGGGTTGTGTATGATTATCTTGACATCAAATTCAAAATACAACAGTCAAACAGTATAAATAGATTATTATGTAAATTATTCGGGATCAGTCCAAACGAAATAGTGACAATGAACAATAGTGTTGTGTGACGGAATGACGCCATTCGGAATAAAATAACGAATATTATAAAACTACAGCGAGGACAGCTGTGATAAACTGGAACTCGGAAGTGAGCGTTGGTCACTGTACGAATAAGGTGAAATTGCTGCGGTGAGAATTTTAATATGGATGCGCGGAGTAGCGGTTACAGGATTTCATCGAAAGCGGAAGTCGGGGTTGGAGAGAGAGAGAGATTTGGCTGATAGAATCCATTTGTACGAATTGTAGACAATAATTCGGCACAAAATCAAACACGTTAATTGTATGACTATTATTTTTACCGTTGAACACGAAATTTACCATTAATCCGGATTCAGTCAGCGGACAATATTCACCGTCGTCCTTTATTTTTAATTTGAATATCAATTTAACCGCGTCGTTGTTCGTGTCTCCGGTAACTCTCCAAGGTGTGTCGAACGGAACCGCGTTGTCCTTAAAGCCTGTGTCTGGAGTCCAAGTGCTTTCGGTTTTTTTCGAAATGATATCCGCTTGAGTATGGTTCAAAAACGAAAACCTAAAACGGTGACAACGCCTTATATTCTGTAACGTTATTCCTAGACTCTAGAACGGGTAATTTTCGGCTCTTTACAACAGTCTAACGTACGTTTGATAGTAATTTTGTTTGTACAGCAATTGAAAAGGTATCATGTTGAGCGAGTAGCAAAGACCGTTTTGTGTTATGATCGGTTGAAAGTAGTCGCACGGTGATTTGATTTCGTCTTGAAGCCAAAACATCATAAACATTCGCTCTTCACAAGTAATCCCGTGTCTCTTAACACAGTGATTAAACAACAGTCAACACATATAATAATATTTGTGCGAGTATACAATATTCAATGTATTTTGGAATTTTGGATCGAGGCATTTTACTTAGATACTTTGGGAGGTCAAATGTTTAAAAAGTCCACTCCTTGATAAGTTTCGACGCTTATTGTATGACGATTAAATGTGTGAAAAGTGTTTCAGCGACCTTAAAAAGATGTAGTTTGACCTTTCTTAATGTAATTTTGTACAAAAATCCTAACGTTCGTTTTAGCTTCGTTGCGGAGCTGAGAAGGAATTACAATGATGTGTGCTTTTCTTTCTTTTTTTTTTACTAACGCTGTTAATAAGTAGAGCTTTTCGAATTATTCGAGAGGAGAATAAAACGAAATATGACTAAAATAACAAGTGTCTTACTTCAATGACGTGCTGCCAAGTTGTTGAATTTATATACTTCATCGAACAATTTTTGTTACGTTGATAATAACTGTAGCATATCATATTGATCGTATCTTCAAACTCTCTGCAAATGGGAAATGTTAAAATATCGATTCAAACAATTTGGGAGAAGCGCTTAACGTTGTAGTAAATCGAAATACTTGTGAATGGGAAGGTTTTCGTCTTTGTAAGTTCTGTTGTTGAGGTCTTGCAGTTGAATATCGCTGCAAAACGTTATCGCCGGGAACGGAAAGTGCCACACGCTGAACTTAGGATTGTCTAACGTCATGATCATCCGGTTCTTCATCCAGTTCTTGAACAGAAGGTATATTTGGGTTCCGGATAAAAACAATACCAAAGACATGACACATAACCAAAAAAGCCTAAAACATAACGTTCAATGTACATATTATAAGCGATGGTTAATGTTCCAAAGTGTTATTCTTTAGCTTCAATGCGCAGCTGAGAAGGTATTGAGTGATGTGCTTTTATTTTTTTCGTGGCTGGACCTACAAAACAGAGTAAAAAAACTTGACTCGAAGGCAATAAAAAAATATCTAGACGAATCAGAGAAAATCTGAGCACAGATTCGAATTCATTGACAAAATATTCACCCAATAAAATATATATTTTGGTTATTATTTCAAAATCGTTATTGTTTGTTTATTTTACAATATTGTTTAACATGTTTCAGATAAACGTTTTTTTTTAAAAATTTATATTTAAAAATGTAATGTACTTATAAAGTCAAACATTTTAAAAATGTACTCTTTTCATTTTTAAAATGAAAAAAATGTAAAAATAAACATATTTTTCGACTTTAAAACAAGACACGCTATTAGTATCCAAAATAACAATAAACATAATTACCAATTTGATTGAAGTGTTATTTTAGATTGAGCACTTGTAATAGTTTTTTTTTCATTACGCTTTCGATAACGGTTTTTTTTTTTTTAAATATCACATTTCTTATCTTATAATTGTGATAAAAAAATACATACTTAAACGTTATTTATTATTGACAAATAAATATCTAAGTCAAACCAATCGAATATATTTATTCAACTCGAAGTGATGTTTATTCTATTTGCTGTGTTATGAATCATATAACTCGAGTGGGTAGTATTAATTAATTATAAATTATGATTTGTGATAAGAAAGATTAAGAAATAAAGCTAGATTGAAAAATAAGTGGATGTATGTTATAAATAAAGTAAATAATTTAATGATGCTCTAAAGAAATTTGCGGAGAAATAAGTTTTGTCTGGTAGATTCCATTTTGTATGAAATAAGATGAAGAAAATGATAGAAAATATTAAACGAAACAACCAGCTACACGATATTAATGCAAACAATAACTAACAAAATTTGAAACTAACTGAACTATTTTTGGAAAAAAATTAAATAAAAGTTCGTTTTTTTATGGATTTTAAAAGGAAAGCAGTGAATTTTTTTAAATTTTTGGCACGATTTCTGATCCATACAGAGTTGCTACATGAAGAAATTGGCTCAACGGTGGTTAAGATGGCATTGGGTGTCCACGACACAAAAATAAAAGCACATGGTTGTAAAAACAATACCTCTCAGCTACTCATCATTGAAGCCAATATGAATTGTGCTTACCTTTCCAAAAGCGGACGATTGGGTTCGCCCAAATAAATGACTCCGTGCAACGAAGTGATCGATGCAAATTCGCGCAAATAATTGCCGTTCTTAGGTTTTTCTGGGGATTTTTTTGGTTTTTCGGTTTTCAGCGGCCCCAAGTGTCTGCGAATGATTTTATTTTTCCTCGATTCAAACATGATCGACGCCGGCCTTTCACTCAGTCGGCTACTAATATCCAATTGAGCGTCAAAAGAAATGGCGTTCCTACAGCCGAATCTTTTTTTCGACCCCCTTCAAAAGCACTTACTTTTCATTCGAGTGTTGTTCCAAAGTAAATGCGTTCAAAGACGACTTGACTTGACGTTTGCTAATGGTCGTTTTCGAATACACTCAAAAACGGCCGTCCACTGGACGGTAATTGGTAAATACCATACAAGTCTAGTATTGACAAACGTACATCGTTATGAGTTTTAATTCATTGCATTTAGACTTACAAAAGTTTGTTTTTTTTTTTTGTAATTCCTGCAAAACGGACATTTCTACATCGTTAAATTCTAAAATTATTTGTCGAGCAAAATGGTACAACGCAAATATTTGAAATAAATAAGTAATTATTTATAGAATCATTTTTTAAATACTTTACGCTAAACACTAACTATTAAACTCGCACTAAAAAAAAACCACTCCAACGCGAATGTATAAAAGGCAGAATATAATGTATGAAATATCATTAAAAAAAATCCTTATAAGACAAAGAAAACATTGTGTTTGTTTATCGAAAACAAATTCTATATTATTCCAAATTTTAACATCTCAAGTTAAAAAAGTTACTCCCAAGACAGCAAAACAAAGAAAATGTTTACATCTCATTAAAAAAAAAAATTAGATTTTTTAATAGAATCAATAAGATCAAAAACTACAAGTGAAATTAAAAAAAAAGAAAAATGTCCACCCTTTTGGGGGTGAGAGAGGGTGTTCGATGGTAGTGGTGGAAGAGATGAACTTTTTGATCGTAGTAATAATAATATTGTAATATATTTCTACATTGCGACAATTTTTTTTGAAACGTTTCGAGCACGTGATTTACCTATCTAATCTGGCTAGCGGCTTCAAACACACGATTAGTATAGTTACCACGTACCTATATAGTATTACTATTGTGAATTATTATTATATTATGGTAACTATAGCGATATAATCTGACATTGTGCATATTATTTTCTCCGCTGGCGATTAACAAACGAGAACCGTGTTTGTTTTCCGATAACCGACAGACACCGGGCGAAGAGTTCAATACCGATACGGATTTACTTTACTGTTAATATGCGCGCCAAGTAAAGTTCAATGTTTTCAATGGTGTTACAAATTAAAAAAAAATATTATAATTCAATATATATATATATAAATTACTATATCTAGATAACCCGAACTATAGGAAACTAACGTGTACTCGGCCCTTGTAATGATGTTGAGCACGTTTACAACAATCGTGTTTTCACATTGCTCTTAACACTTACTATTACTGTTGCCCGCGTTTACTATATTTGTTATATATTTATTATTATTATTATTATTTTTAAATGTCGGTCAAGACGACTACCGCGTTTTTTGTGGCGTTAACGTTGATCGTCGTCAACGTTAGCCACGCTGAAGGATTTGCCCTACAAGCCAAAAAGCTGTACGATTGGCCCAACACAGAAAACGAAAAACAAAACTCTGTGCCCGTGAGTAAAAAAAATTATTTAAAAAACTTAAATTACAAATAAAAAAAAAAAAACCCGTCTAAAAAAAATTCTAATTCTAATTTTTTTTTTTAAATATTATATTTATTATTTATTTGTCAACAAATAAATATTTTAAAAATATATATATATTTTTAAAAAATTTTAAATAATTAAAAATTGTTTTAATTATTTATTATTTTTTGTTTTATATATATATTTTGTTTATATTTTGTTTTATATATTTATTGTTTTTTTTTTTTATCGTGAAATATTTAATTAACTAGAGCTATTACTCGTGATTAATACGATAATACATTACATAATATTATTACAAAAAAAAAATGATTAAGTGTAAACAATAATAATTTAAACATTTTTTTACAAAGACAAATTTTAGTGGACATTTATAACTACCATACGTAATTAACTATTATCTAGTTACAAAATGCCCGCATTTATAAAGTAATCCTGTAATATTTATATTGTTTTTTCTTTTTGAGCTTATTAGGCTAGTTAATTAAAATAAGTTAGTCCTAAATAATCAACAAAAGTCTGACCAAAAACTTTATTAGCATACTTAACTGGAAAATCGTATGTTCTGTTTTCATTTCTGCAACAAGAACATAATAACAGTTTTTTTTTATTTTGATACCTCGCTGACAAAGCGCCCAAATTTTTGTAATAATTGTGATTAGTAGATCCTGTTAGAATATACTATTTAAACAAATTCTTACTGCATTATTTTGGTTAACATAAAGTAATCTTATTATGTTATCGCAAAGATCACACCATATAAAATGTAATATTCCATATAAAAAATTTGACTGATACAATGCAAAGAATACATTCACATTGTTTGTATTGGTAGCATATTTTTCAATTTAACTAACTTAAATGTCAAAAAATGTAGCATTTCTTTTAGATTATTTACACGTAAGTTACATATTAAATCGTTGTCAAAAATATAACTTCATAATAATATATGTATAATAGAATAAAAATATAATTATTTTACAGTTACATAAAACCATTTATCTAATATTACATCAGAAACTTCCAAAATACTGTACCTATGCATATTTTTAATAAAAATATGCAATAGTATATTAGATTAGAAATGCGGTTTTAATAGCCGTGTAATATCATTTTTCAGAGAGTAACCGTTTCCATTTACTATGAAAGTTTATGTCCGGATTGTATTAATTTTTTTACCAACCAATTGGCGCCGAATTTAGTCAAATATTACAAATATTTGAACTTGGATTTCTTACCTTACGGCAACTGTAAAGTAAGTGACACATCAATACAATTAACCGGATACAAAAAATGTGTGAGGTGACTTTGAAGAGCCGTGAAAACGGGTTACTGGAACAACTGAATGCAAGCGTAGCAACGTATTGTTAATATGAATATATTTGTTATGTTGAAGCAAGAAAAAATTGATGGAAAATGGAACTTCACTTGTCAACACGGAGCACCAGAATTTGCCAAAAACAAGTGGCAAGCTTGTTCTATTAACGTTTTACCGTCTAAACCAAAATGCTTGGCCAAGTACATCACATGTTACATGACTTCTGTGCATAAATCGCACACCGGATACCTAGTAAGGGCGCATCTTTGTAATAATATTATATTTAATAATCAAATAAAATGTAAGAAAATAATTTTAAAAAATTACTTAAATGCTCAGGCTTCTAAAATAATTATAAAACACAACAGAATATGTTTAGCAGGCAATTTCCGTTATCAGCTGGTTTTTCCCTTTTTTTTTATCTTATAATTAAATTTGGCCTTATCAAACACCATTTATAGTATCACAATATTATATCTTATCATCGTGTATTCTCTAATCAATCAACATCCTTATCACTAATTACAAATTTGACCATAATTATTGTTATTTAACACCTTTCATAAAAATTAAAATATAAGCAACATTGACATTTAGTAGCTGATCTTAAAGGAAAATTGTACTTAATGTAATAATAATTTAATGACAGTTGGATATAGTCTATTATGTTTGTTTGTTAAAGCAATATAAAACAGCCAACAAAATTAATTATTAAAAAATGCAATTCTATCTAATTAGATATGGTCACAGTAAATAATAAAAGTTATATTTAGCTTAATTCATACTAATTATTTTTCTACATTTAATATACATATCACTAAGATATGATTTAACGCAACTGTGCAATATTTCACAGTGTGCAAAAAAGCTAGGATTATTGCAATCGTATAAAAAAATCAAAGATTGCTACCAAAACGATGACTTCAGCAATGAACTGATGGCACACTACGGCAATCGAACCCATTCGTTTACACCACCTTTAAATTGGATGCCTTCGATCGTATTTAATGGCGTAAGTATAAATACTCGAGTAATCATTGATTTTAAATTATACAGTATATTTTAAAATCAATTGTGTAACGTATAAAAATTAAAATATTTGTATGCAATCCTACAATGTAGAATCATTTTGTTTGTTAACTTATTTTTTTTTTTTTTTGCATTTCAGGTGTACAACAAAACCGACCAACAAGACGCTGAAAACAATTTGCCAAAAGCGATTTGCCGGCATTTAAATCCTAAGCCCGCCAAGGTTTGCTAATAGCAATTCGACAAATCGGAAACTTTTGTTTTTTTTTTGTTTTTATAGTATTCCGTCCAACGACAAAGCGATATTTTATTGTAATTATTGCGTTATGTATATTTTTTTTCTTACATAATATGTATATTTTCGTGTTAATAAGTTTGTAAAAAAATCAAATTGTATAGCTAATAACTCGAAACTATAACGTGTGTAATTTGTTTTTATTCAATATAGTGACAACACGGTTACTACTTTATTTAAAACCACAAAAAACAAACAAATTTCTACACTTTTATTATTTAAAATAATATATATATATATATTAATAATTATTCTGCAATTCATCGTTTCGTGAAAACAAAGCCTAAAATGAAATGAAAAAATATATTATACATCAGATAACCTTCATTCCCCATGTATAATATCCTTTGAACGGTAAGCTTATTGCTGATTGCTAAACCGTAAAACAATAGTTGAATATTATTGTGTTTTAATATTTTATCGTTAAAAAAACAAGCACGTATAAACATCAATTACTATTATGAAACTTCTGAAAGCTTTAGACGTTTAGAGGAACTGGAAAATAACAGAATTAGTTAAAGTTTTCATAATCAAAGTAAGAACGTTGTAAACATTATTTACAACAATTTTAAGGGAATAAATTATTATTATTATTATTGGAATGGTATGCGTTTTCTTTTTCTACTAAACTATATTATTTGTCTATCTACTTTCAACGCACTCAATCCATTTCAATATATTTCCTCATATTTTAAACGCTTTTTTTCAGTGCTACAAGTAATTAATATGCTTGCATTTGAAGATACTTTTAGAATATTTTATCAATGTTACCAGTATTTACTTGTTACACTTGCATTTTGAATTTTGTGAAATTTATTAAATTGCTCGAAACTTTACAAGCTTTAAAAGGCTTCTATAGACTCTCCACTTTTTGAAATCTGACGGAACTTCTGAACTAATATCGACCGGTTGTTAAAATTATTCTTTAATCGCAGTCAATAAAAATGTTAAATTAGTGGCTGTATATTTTTGATTTATTGCTAACAGACACATTAGTCAGTTTACTAATTCCACCACCACTACAAAACCGATAGTATTTCTGCTTAGAATCTGATGCAAAGGTATAACTACAAAGGTCCATGGCCTATTATCAACTTGACTAATCTAAATATTATTTATGTATATTGATGAACTATTAAAAACAACAATAAATCAACCCATAATCACGTGATTGTTTCGCGTTAGGCAAACTCTCTCTATAGACTATAGTGGTCTTGAAAAATAAAGGTTAGGTCCCTTAAGCGATCATGACATTGAGTAGAAAATGTTAGTTGTTCTAAGTTTATCAGCTTCGATGCGTAGCTGAGAAGGTATTGTTTTTACAAAAATGTGTTGTTGTTATGAACTTTTTTTTGTCAAGCATATGTCTTGACAGAGGAACAGACTCTGAGGAAAAGGCTTGAAGGCAAGGAAAATGAACACGAACCTTCTTCGTAGGTCCCTATAAAAACAGATTTGCTGAATAAAACGTTATCTAAATAATGGCATTTAGATTACAAATGTTAATAATAACAAATACAATACCCAGCACATTACAGATGTCATTACAATGCTTTTATCTATGTACAGTTTTAAACACATGTTTGCCTTTTTTCTACCATCTACGTATTTGCATCATTTTTATCATTTTTGTTGTAGTTTTTGTCGTCGTGTATTTTATATTAACAATCAAATAATCAATATTCGCTAAAAAGTACAATTACAACGTTTTGAAATTAATTATCGATATTGTTTTCTATTAACCCAGCTCATTAATTTCCCACGCATAACATCCGTTATCGTCCAACATAAATATTATCGGTTTTTTTTTTAACGTTAACTTTTTAATATTAATAATAAAACCCACGGTCTGTCACGAGTGTACGATTCCAGTTTAAAAACTTGACATTTCAGTAATTATTTTGCTGTGTTCCCGTTAATTATTTTTAAAAATTGTACTGAGTATTGAGAATATAAACTAAACACAATTTAATAAAGACAATTTTACATTACCTAATTGTACAATTTCTTAATATACTGTAATATTATCTACATTTACAATAAATTGTGTATACAAATTCGCTTATTCAAATGAATTATTTCCGCAAATAACTAAAGCTTTATTTGTTACTAATTAAACTAAACTAGTCAAGACATCCAAGTGGCAGTAACCTCAAGTCATGTAAATAGTGTAAACTAAATCAATTATAAATACAAAACAAAGAAGTATTAACTAGGTAGTATGTCTGTGATATAAAATAAATTATACATAATACACTAATAATAATAATATTATTATCCATAATGATAATATATTATTTATAAAAAAGTTTCCTGACCCTCGACTCTCGAGATATCTTTCAAATAATAATTTTAGTTGTGAGATGTTTTTTTTTTTTTTAAATTCAAGATTTCAATGCTAAAATGGAATTTTAAATGGCGATTTTCATAAAATTTAAATAAACAGGAAACCCCAAATTTCCTATCTTGAAAAATTATTTAAAAAAACATCTTATTAATTTTAAAGCTATAAAGTTATTTATTATATTTTAATCGTTTTTTTAGTAGCACACGAGTAATATTATAATACTCAATAACACTATGAATTAGCCCGGGCCTTGGTTCATTACGTTTTATCAATCAGAGTTCAGTGACTACACATTATACCACACAGCCGGAAGTCAATTTTACACTAGAAAATATTATTATATATACAGGGTGATCCATTTAACGTGAGACACTAATAATATCAGGAAAATAATTACAATTTTTGTAGTTTTGGAGACATTAGGGTAGAACTTTTTTAGTAAATTCTGGTTTTTTTTTTAAACTCAAATATGGCAAGTTGTATAATATTTTATTAACTTTTTAAATTAAGAATAATTTAAACGGAAAAAAAAGAAGAAGAAAAACGTTGACTTGTCAATAACCAGTTTAGACTAATAGTTTAAATTTAAAGGTGGGTGGAAAGGTAAAGTGTTGTGTGTTTTTTTTTCAACTTATCGGTTTACGACCGGTAAAATTATTGTAAAAGTTAATTGAGCGCTATCGATCCGAGTTTCCACAGTCGATAGATCCCTGGAAAATAACAAAAAAATAAGGTATTTGGTAGACATTTGCAAATGGGAAAACTACAAAATAGCAATGTTTTTTTTTTTCACAGCGACATTAACGTTAGTTCGATCACCCTGTATATATAAAAATATACACGCCGGGTTTCGAACCGATGATAAACGGCGAAGTTAATGAATTATTATCATTATTATTATTTGGAATCGCGAGGAGATAAAAACAAATATATATACAAAGGAAAAAACACATACGCGCGCACGTAGTAGGTACATATATATTATTTAAATATTATAAATTATTATAATATCAGTGAACGGACTGAAAAAAAAAAAATAATAAAGAAGAGATGTATCTCTTGTAAACGTTCAAACGGCGGTAGAGTCTATTTCCAATGTACACACACACTGTTGTTGCGGCACATGTGTTCGACATTTGCCCGTCCGGTATAGACCCGTCGCCCGTACAGAATAGGAAGTGCTGTGTGTGTGTGTGTGTTTATTTTTTTATTTTTTCCCAAATCTCCTTACCCAGCTGATCGGGTTGTATTTCGGTTGAGCTCTTCTTGCACACACACACACACACGGTTTTGTGTGTAGTAATACACCGCAGTGTCTCTCCGGATAGAAGTCACACACCAACTGCTTACTGTTGCTGAGCGGGGAAAATAGAAATTTCCAAACAAAATACCAAAAACCTCCCCCCGAAAATACGACTACAGGCTTGAAACCCCGTGCCCACCATGGACGCTACGCCGTACGTTCTCCCGCTGTTGCTGATCACCATCATAAGTGAGTATAATATTTATTTATATTTTTAATCTAGGCGTTGATTTGGAAATTTACACGTTTGTATTACAATTTTTAGTACAATAATTAATACTATTATAATATCAGTTAACGAACTGAAACAAATAAGCAGAAAAGATAGGTACCTTTTTACCCTAAGATAGGCTCTTTTTTGATATAATTCCTTGTAAGAAAAACGTGTAACTTTTAAAAGAATGTTCAACTGATTCGTTTCGCGTCAAACAGAATTTTATACCTATTTAGTTCCACTAGGCTTTGTTGTAAGAATTTGTTTTCTAAATTATGCTCATCTATATTTCACAGTAAACAGATTGGTGAAAGGCTATATTATGACAAATTGACCGGATTTTCAGATTTAATTTAATATTTCAATCCAAGATGAATTATAAAAGAAAAAGGTTTTTGGAATTTTAATTTAAACTACAAACTGGCACGATTAAATAAGTAGCTAGTTTTTACGCTTAAAATAACAAACGTTTTGATGGAGAATTCTCCTAGATTGGTTAAACCGCCAAAATGGCTTATAAAATGGCACACCTACCATAAAAAATTGAAATATTTAGTTTTATAAAAAATGAAAATCTCAAAAGGCAACACAACCAAAATATTTATTATATAGAAATTAGACTTACTCGGAAGTCTCATAGGAGAATAGATAAATTATCAGTTTCTTAACCGGAAAATGGTTTTTTTTATTATCCCATTTTTTCCAAACGCCACAAAGTTACAATAAAATAACATTAATCTTGTATTAATTTTGAGTAACTATAATATTAACTGTTGTTATACCGCTAGATTTACAAATGTAAATCGATAACTCCCGTAGAAGAAGCTATCTATTATGATCCACATGGATCGAACAACAATAGATTATTGATCTCACACAGGTCGTGTTAATTTTAACTCGCTTTTATAAACAAATTATTTTTATAACTTCAACGGCGGGAGGTAAGCTAACGCGTTGGTCTATCACGGATTTATGTCTAAACAAAAATTGTACTTAATAAAGTAGTTTTTGAGAATCGGATCGAAGCCAAGACAAAACTTGATTGGTTAATTATTTTTTTTTAACTTCACACACAGATTTATACAACACATTTAAAATTACTATTATGTTTATTGTTATAATTTTCTAATTATAATTAAGCATTTGAAATGTTTGTTGTAAAAAAAACCTAAGTATTTCAAAATTTCGATTGTGAGTTTTATAACACAAATAGGATTTAAAAAAGTAAATCAATTATGCGTGTATAGTGTAAATGTTAATTTTAGATGAAATTAGTTTTTAACGTTAAACTGATCACCCTGTATAAATGTATACATTTTTTTCTGATAATCGATAACAAGACAGACACGTGCTGCAGATTAGCAAATAAATATTCTTAGCGCAAAAATAAAGTTATAAAATAAAAATAAATTGAAATACGCATTTAAAAACGTCAAAGTGATGCTTGAAGAAAAGAGTGCATATGGAAAAATAGTCAACTTTTTTTTTTTACATCTGTAACTAAGTACATTTTTTTGTAATTTTACAATTTTTTAAATTGCATCATGGCAAAGCCAATGCACAGACACCATATAAATCGTATATGAATTGATATTCTACCACTGCTTTTACTGTATTATTTACAATTTATTTAACACAAATTTAATTATTAACACATTTTTATTAATATTCCATAACCGCACTTATCTACTTTCGTGTAGATTTATTGGCAATTAAAAAAAGCTATCTATTATTTGTAGGTATTGTTCTATAATTTCACTTGTGTTAGTTATCGCTTTTGAAAATAATAAGCCATAAAATAGTAATTAAAAATGTGTGTATTTATTACACGGCTTTATTAAACGACAAACAATAATTTTTGAATAAAAAAATCTTACCAGCGAAATGGACCACGGTCCTGATTTTTGTACACAAATATACAAAAATATAAATAATTTTACAAATACTAGTCAGTAGGGCCCAAAAAGGGCTCAAAATGACCAAATATATATGCATTTATACGCTAAAAATAGCCACTCATCAAATCATAATAATGTACTATATTTATTTATTTAAAAATATTAACACTACTTTTTAATCACAAACAAATGAAACAAAATAATTTAAACTTAAACCATAAATCGTTAAAATAACTATACAACTTCCGTTGGTTAATTAAAAGTTAGTGTTGTCTTACCTTTGGCAGAAACAGAGAGGAAGTAGCAAACGAATACCCAATAATAATTAATCCTATCTTAATATAATGATTAAAACCTTATTATATAGTCCTTTCAGGGTTTAGTTTTATTTGGTTTTTTTATAGGCTTTATTAGACTAACTGAAAATGCATATTTATAGATATTTGATTTTACAGAAATTTATGTATTTTTTTGAAATGATCAAAGTACACAAACAAAAAAGCCAAAAAAAAAAGAATTTCCACTTTTCTCATTTTTGCACCGTTTGTACAAGCATTTTAATAACGATACGTGGAGCATATCTTAATTTATATCTTTTTATTTTAAAAAATAAGCATTTTTATATTTCTATAATGTTTATTTTTAACTTTGTTCGGTCGTGTGTGTGTAGACAATGTGCAATTAATACATAATAATATATATTCTGTATAAATATTGTAGAACAGAACAGTATGGTCAATTATTTCCAGTTTTTATTGTATAATAATTCAATTTTTCGTTTCGTTCTCCAAGTCGCCACCAAGTGATTTAATTTTAAAATGTAGGTAAATCCGACCCTGTTGCTAGATAGGTATATAGTATTTAATTTGATATTATATATTTTAATTTAATCAATTCGCAGACACAAAACAGTCTGATATTAACCGGCTCGTGTCTTTTTTTTTGTTTCAGTAGTGCCAGTGTTCGAGGGCTGTGATCAGACAAGGCAAGGATGCAGGATACAAGAGGGAACGTGCCTTTGCGGCGTGGGATGTTATTCCGAGTACAGGTACAGCAACTACGAAGAATGCCACAAAGCGTTAAAAGGCAAGTGGACAATACGATATATTATTTTTAACAGCACTCGATTACTGGTAAACTGAAATGATCCGTCTAACTGTTGTGATAACACTTGCGCAGGTCGAAGATACGATTTCTGTGCTCAAGGCCCGTGCTATCATAACGGAGTTTGCGTGCAAACCTCACAGGAACCAGGGTATAAGTGCAGATGTTCAGGCACGGGATACTACGGTGCAAGATGCGAGCAAAGTGAGTCGCTGAAAATAAAAACTAGACAACGATTCACGGTACATTCATTGGTATCTAGAAAACGACTACGGGGATGGCCGATGAAAATTATGATGTTCAAAGGGCGATTTTTTCTAATGGGTGTCCGGAAACAGCCGAGTCGTGCACTTATTTCCGGAATGCACTGTCTAGCGCATGTGGAATAAGTACAGCTGTTGTCTTTCGAATCATTATAGCTCTCACTCGATAAAGAATTCACAGAGTAATGGTTTTCAGGCTTGAGCAGTGGGTCCAAAATGCCAAGTACACCTTTCTAAACTACTACATCGACATGCATTTAGGAAGGAAAAACTTTGATGTATCTATCTATTTCAAGGGTTGAAAATATGTTGTATACTGTATTTGTACTTTTTGACTGGTCCGGTCGGAACGGGGTTAGAGTTGGATCAAGTATAAAAACAGCACTATTTTTTTTTTTTATTGAGAATAGAAAAAAACAATATAGCCAAGGACGCCCGCAGGTGAAAATTCGGGGGGGGGGGGGCGGCCAAGATTTTGTAATAGGTTTTACAAATTTGGAATATTGGATATACGTTTTCTGACCTCGCAGAGAAGCTAGGGCGGGAGTTGCGAATATATATGTTATATTATCTTAATTTAACATTATTTCTTATTGTGATTTCAGAATGTTTCGATCAATCCCACACAAAAGAAGTACCATTCGAATGCATCGTTATTTAGACGGCGTGTCTGTACCTATTATCGTATCGAAATTTTGAATTTTACGAACATTTTTAACTACTTACAACCTAATGTTCAAATTTTTTTTTTTTTTTAATGTATTATTGTCATTTATTATAATAATTTTTTTTACCTGCGTCGTAATGTTAGATAATGTCGTAGTGGAACATAATAAACTTGAATATATATAAATACGTGTAAATTTCATCGATAGTTTTTTAATTATTTCTCATTAGTTAGAATGAGACATTGTTACTCTCCCGTTTTTATTAACCATATAATTAAATTCAACCATTTTGTAAATATTTATAAAAAGGTCAGGTATGAAAAAACAAATGAAATAAAAACACATTTTTTTTTTTTATTGTTTCAAATCGTTTTTGTTATTTTTTCAGCCTTACAGTTTCAGCGAGTTAAATATTTTTTTTTCCCTAATGTTTCAGAAAAGTCTTAACAATTTTCCATTTAATAATTGTCTTATTTGGTAATACGTTTATGTCATTATAGTTCAAAGCAACCCGGAAAAACATGTAACGCTAACGGCTAACATCTTATTCACAATACATAATATTTATACATTTTTTATAATAATTATAATAATAATCGTAAACTACTCTGTCGAATAATAATAATTACCAGCATATATAATCATACAAGTGGATATATATATATATAATTACTCAAATACGACTATAATAATATAATGCTCACAATAACTCGACGCGCTAATTTTAAGGACTAATATCTTTTTTTTTTATTGTTCCTTAAATTACATCATAATAACGTATCTTAAATAAAGGCTGTTTTTAAATTCCTGATCCCTCAAGTTGTTTTTAAGAAAATTTCTAATTGATTATTAATAAAACTTAAAATTAAAAAAAAATGTGCATTATTTAATTAAATTAAAAATCGTCTCCTAAAACTATTAGATTATAATTAAAACGTAATACCTACATTGCAATGTTATTTGTTTGAACAAATTTAGTCCAATTACAGTGAAAAGACTTATTTCAAATTGAGTTATCAAAATGTGTATAATTATAATTACTGGCGTTAATATTCTAGTAAATATATTTTGACTACTATAAAAAAAAAAACAATCCTAAAAATAAGTTACATTTAAATATTAAGTCATTAATAATAATAATAATGAATAAGCTATGTGTATATACTATTGTTACATTCAATAGATGTAGAAAAAAAAACGTTCGACGACTGCCCGGTTGACAGTTGTCGGACTACTATTCTCTGAACAACAACTTGACTGAAAATAGTTTGATAGTGCAATTTAACACCGTAAAATCATAATGTTACATTTTTTTTTTTTTTGTTAAACTTATCGATTAGGGTATTTACAATGTTTAATAATTTTACAATATTATAATATACTTTTTAAAAAATTGCCAAATTTTTTTTTTGTTATGATTTTTTATATATCCGGTCAAGATAAAAATCGACTAAAAACGATAACGCGCCTTTAAAATTAAAAGATAAAATTACAAATTTAATTTAAAAAAAAATCTACAATTACAATACGTTACAATATTAGTACATACTCAATTAATTTATCACAGTTTAGTTACGTCTTATACTAGTTTCAGTTTGGCATAAATAATTGTGTGTGTGTGTATGAATGTCGTAAGACGTCATACGCGTATAACTAAATTTCACATAAGAAAATAAAATGGTCGTGCAAAAACTTACGGCTCGAATAATTATTTGTGAGATAGATGGAGAAAGATCTGTGATAAAACAAAATTTGGAATGGAAAAATTAAAACACTACTCGATACAACAACTATATAAGATACAGATAAGGTTTGTACTAAAAAAAAAAAAAAAATACATAAGATGATTACTTAAACGCTATGACTTAGAGTTAACGCGATATTATTATTTATATTTAAACCCTAAATTTGTTTAAACATTTTCTTATTATACTAAAAAAATGTTCGCACCAAGTCGTACACTATTATAATATTATTTAAGACAAGCATAAAATATGAAAAATAATCTTTTTTATTTTTTGCAAATTATTTATTAACAGAAAAACACGGTCCGTCAAAAAAAAATCAGTCCTCGAATATAGGATCATTATTAATCTATAAATTAAAAAATATCATTTTCAAAAAAAAAAAAGATTCTTAACAATTATAAATAAATAAGTTATTGTGAGCATGTCGAAATATAATTGGACGCATTTAAATCGAGAAATAGTAAATATTTAACAGTTAATTCTTGGTAAAAGTAAACAGTTTCAAGGAGGGATCAAAAGTATGACGTTAAATTGGTAAAAAAAAATCGTTTTTTGATATTTAATAAAACTTGATTGCTCTTTTTTTTTTTTAATAATGTTATCATTTGAACTACCAAAAAACTAGACGTTTGCATGATATTCAGTAGCCACTGAAGATTTTTATAAATAAATTTAAAAAAAATGTATAATATTAACTAGCGCATGTAAGTTTTAAATGCATCCAATAATTTATTAAAACTATAATAAAAAAAAAAACTGGAGGTTACAAAATATGTATTATTTTTATATTATTGTGCTGAAAAATAGGGAGATCTATATCATTAGGAACAGTATGTGAAACAATTAATAAACTTTAAATAAAGATATCGGAGGAAATCCCTTTCACTGCTTGAACGGTATAGAAATATAATAGTTATATTATGCGAATATTATATCACAAATTAAAAAAAAAATATGTATATATATATTAAAGCTATTAGTATTTTTTTTTCTCACAAATATCAATTAAATTAGTCATAAAAATGTACATCGATAATATGAGTAAATTTTATATTATGAAATAATATCGATAGTACAAAAAAAAAAACATTACGACTATAAACACGTCGAACAGTGAATAATCAAGTCGAGAAGTTAAATTACTTAAAACGAAGTTGTTCAGCAGTGAAAGAGTACATTTATAATTATTTTTATACTTTTTTAAGGAAACGGCTGTTTTTTTTGCAATTAATTTTATATACGTGTTGAACATAGTTAATAAATATTTTAAGTTAATTTACAGTGAATATGAAACAAGCAAAACGTTTGCGATACCGATAACTAATAAATTACTACTAAACAATATGTGCTTAATTTAATCGTCTAACATTAATTAAATGTTTTATAATTTTTTTTTGTTTTTTTTTTTTTTAACTAATAACCTGTCAAACTTATTGCTAATATTCTCAAGAACGTAAAAAATATTATTCCAATAAACCGGTAAAAATACTTTACAAACAAACAAAAAAAAAAAAAAATATCCAAAATAAAACTTGAGTTTTAGAATATATTAAACGCTAGACATTTGGTTACAATTTAAGTCGACGACCTATTTTCCAAGACTAGTTTTTTTTTTTTATATATATATTTATATCATTTAGTTTGGAAGCTCATTATTTTATTACAAAAAGAAAAATAAATAGGTAGTAATATAATAATAATAATAGTGATAAAAATTCTGCATTGGGAAATAAATGGTCAAAATGGTAGTCAAATGTGAGTTTTGTCGTAATAGCGTTAAATTTCGTTCAATTGCCCTGGACTGTGTGGTTTACGAGCGTTTGTATCAAATCCATTAGTTCCATCCGGACCCGATGGCTGACGGACGACTATCAATTTCGGTGAACCATCGTCCTTTACGGATATAGTACGTATGCGATTGATCAAATGTTCCGGCCGCTGAGACGGTTGTTTAGGCGGGGAATTTTCAGCAGAACTATAAATATTACCAAAAACAATATTTTTTTTATACAATATTACTAACAGTGTTGTTGTTGGCAGACGACTTTCTGGAAGTTGTCGAGATGGAAAATTGTCGGTATAACCAGGGCAGAGTATTTTTTTTTTATTTTGTTAAATAACAACCATTTAATTACTAACCTGATTTTTGTGACATTGCAGCCTGAAGATTTTCCAGATCTCTGGTTTACAACCAATACAAATTCGACTAAGTCACCTTGGTGAAGTTTAATTCCGTCAGTTACTTCAGATGTGTGGAAAAATAATTTTTTACCACCTTCGACTTCATAAGTTAAAAACCCAAATAGTCCTTGAAAAAAACCCAAACAAAACATTTTACTTGTACTGCACATAATTCATAGATGATAATAACATTTTATTAATAACTATAGTGTTCAAATAAAAAAAACCAACAACTGAGGAAATTGCCCTAAATTAGTTTTTTAGTTTAGAATTTTAATGTTGCGATCATGTATTTTTGAAGTAGAACACTTCGAGATAACTGACGACAGCATGATCCATACTTATTCTATGTTTTAGAATGTATTTACTTTTCTTCCATAAACAAAGAAACTAAAAATTCTAATTTCTTTTTAACAATAAATGCTTAGACTTATGCTTAACTATAATAATAATTGATTTACAATTATTGATTTAAAATCATCATCATTACCTTTTATCGCATCAACGTGAGCTCTTTGTTTCTTCCTTATTGCGATAATATTAACAGCTCGATTTTTCGAATCCACTTGGAACTGAACCGGATCACCGACTTGCAACAATTCTCTTTTGTTCATTAATCCTTTGATTCCGAATTCATACTGTGAAATGTTTTCTTCTTCGGCTATACATAAAAATACATATAAAAAAATGTTCATACATTGTTAATAAATTTGTATTTTATTTTAACTATAAATCAAATAAGCCTATATCTTTAACAATGACTCACTCGTAGGTACTTCTTGGATGATACCGGCGTATTCAGTTTGTTCGGGATTGACTGATCGCAACGGTCTGGAAACGACACCATCTTGGATGTTATTCGGTTGAAGCAATTCGCTGTTATCGCTTATACTGCCCGGCGGTAGAATTCGAACGTTTTCAGCTGACGCACAACTGCCGCCGTTGCCAGTGTTTCTAGTGCTTAGCGTGTATTCTACTTCCATGCCCAGTTCTAACGGCGCATTAGGATCAGTCAAATTTCTAAATTGTCAAAAAAAAATGTTAAGCAATTAATAGCAATTCTTCGAAGAAAGTGCAGTGTACTTACGCGTATCTGAAGAATACTTCAGAATCTAACGCAATGGTCTCGATAAAACCAAATCCATCTTTGAGCGCAGCAATATAACCGTACTTTAAGTCCGCACGATTAGGTGGCTCTTCAGACGGATTACTATTGTTAGAGACCGATGAAGCTGGTTGAATATTCATGGCCATCAGTTCCTTGTTACGTTTCACTTGATACAAATTAAATTTCACCTAAGACAAAAAAAAAAAAAAAACTTAAAACTGTTGTTAAGCAACAGTTATGTTATACATAATATATATTAAAAATAATTACTAAATTATTATTACTTTATCTCCCAGCTTTGGTATATATTTTCCGTTACAGTCTTTGACATTGTACAGTATTGTTCTTTTGACGCCGTTTGATTGTAAAGTGATCACTCCCGGTTCGTAGGTTATTTCATCAGGTATCTAAAAAAACCAAATTTCAATATTTTTGGATACTCAATTCGTAAAAAAAATTTATATAATATAGTTTAAGCCAAAAACCTATGGAATTGCGGCGTTGAAAGAAAAATTATAAATATTATTCATAACAAAGGTATGCAAGAACTATTGAAAATGAGATAAGCTCTGATTATAATATTATCAATATAAAAAAATATATATTGCTTACTTCATCATATATAATTAATGACTTTAAATAACATTAATATGTACAACTGGATAAATATTTGTATTTTTGAAAGCGTTGTTGTTTGCTTTACGGATATTACAATATGTGAATTACTCAAAAATTGGTCTATTAATAGTTTATATATATATATGTACACACACAATTATTTTGTAAGTCTGGAACGAACCTGGACTTATATTCCATCAGACGATAGTTGCCTTAAATTAATAATATGTTTATATAGTTATAAATAAGTACTACATGTTAAGTTTATTTTGTTATGTTGAGCTTATATTTATAAAACATAATGAACCTTATACACTACCATAATACTATTTTAATACTCAATTTAGATATAAATTTAAATGATCAACATTATTATGTAAAAATAAGTCAATATTAAATTTATCAACTAAATACATTAGTCTATAAAATATAATCATTTTAGCTCTAATTAGTTTGACCGAATAACACGTCATATTATAATGTATTTGTTAGCCTAGAACGACAAACAAGAAAATCAATTTAGTTAACAATTACAGGCCCTGTCAAATATTTTTGTATAACTTTATATTTAAAATGATTAAATATTAATTCAATAACTTTGAATATAAAACAACTAAGATCAAACCTTCTATTTACTCTACAACCAAAGCATAGAGGAGGCTTTACTAAGCATAATAGTTTTTAAATAGAAGAGATGAATGTAATCAGAAATCTTTAACATAAACAACTTTTGTTAATTCAATTCCATTTAAATAATAAAATGTATGATTGGGTTTTCTTTTTTTGAAAAAAAGCATCTCTAAAAATTAAAAAATAATTTATTACATTAGTATTACATCGTTTATACCCACCAGTTTGGCATTCATGTTATTTAAAAATTGTTGATAAGTTCATACAATGGTGCTACGTCTAATTTATTTAATACCTAGGCGAATTTTTAATTACTTAAGATGGTCGTAGCTACAATCACTAGAGTTATTCGATGTATTTTAACTTCCCTATATTAATCTATTACTATGGCAAATACGTCATAAGTGGCAGATACGGCCAGTTGCCTGTTAGCCATCAATATCTTTTTCTGATGGCTTTCTTTCTTAATATAAGTTGGACAAGGTTGTCCAAGTTTGTTCTTAAAGTAAATTAGCTGTAGCCAATTTTTTCTATAAATTTAGAGATATCAAACATGGAAACTGAATATTTTTTTTAATTTAAACATTTGTTTATATTTGAGACGATAAACATAAATTAGAAGTTGATTATGACTACAAATAATTATGTGATAGGAATCAAAATGGTTTAAACGATTAATTTACTAACGAAAAAAAATATTTTTGATAATATTAATATCCCTGTTTTTGGATTTGAGACAACTGAAAATGTGGCTGAATAAATCTGAATAAAAAAATTTCACCCCTAAAATTAACAAAATATGTACAACTCGTGTATGGCATTTTTAGTACAGAGTTTGACGCCTTCAACCACCACTATACCAGGTTTCCTTACAAAGTGGATAGATTAGTGTTCAAATAGTTCAAAAACTTACATGACTATTGGTTTTCGTAGGACTAGATGGTTCCGATAATTCTGTTGCAATGACCGACACAACCCCGACTAATCCTTCTTCAATAAGTATTTCAAACTGCACGGAATTACGAGGCAGATGTTTTATACGTATGGCACTTTGTCTCGAATTCCCAAAAGAAGACGATGGATCCTACACAAAAAATAAAAATTTATTATATGAACGACCATAATTTGAAATCAAAATAAAGGCGGTCATAATTTTCTATTTGTTAAATAGTTTAAAACGAAAAACTACCTGAGCGACGGTGAACTCTACTTCATCGTTGCATTCCAACTTTCTGTTGACGTCGAGGACTTCATTAAATGTGAAATATATTTTTGGTTCCCTCTCAACAGAACGTAAAAAACCAAACCCTTGTTTCAAAACGGCAATAATACCTTGTTCTCTTCTCTCGCCAGACACTACAAACGACTCCGGCAAAAGAGATATGTTAGTTGCTCTTTTCAATTGATCTCGTCGATCGGTTGCTATTCGAAATTCGACCCAATCGCCATGTCTAATTAAAATAAAAAATTAAAATAAATTATCAACTAATAGTGTTCAAAAATTTTCGAATAGAAATTTACCTCAATGTAAAATCTCCCTGCTGATCTTTTTCGCCAAAAGAAACTTCCACTTCCGAATAATCTGGAGCCCTATAACGTATGCGTCCGGGCAATGGTTCAGACGGTAAATGATTTTGAGGATTTTTGTCCAAAGGCTTCAGTACTTGTCCTTTCATGATACTGTCTTCGATGTCTTCAAATATTACTGAACCGGGCGGTAAACGCTCAATGTTACAGGCAACTTCCTTTCCCTAATTTAACAACAATGAAAAATAAATTTTAACTAACATATGATAAACTTTTCAAACAAATTGTAAAGCTGCCGGTAAAAGATTCAATTATTGTTATAAGTGCTCTATGCAGATAGAAAAAAAATTAATAATTAAGATCTGATCTTACACTCCGTGTTTGAATAATGAATTCCACATCGTCACCCAGTTGTAATGGTTTGCCGTTGTCTTTGAACTCGCTAAACGGAAATGAAATTTCTTTTACAATGTCAGCCCTTTCTATGTAACCGAAAACGTCTTTCATGGAGCAGACAACTCCTTGATATTTCACAGGGTGAACTGGATTTTCAAGACGAACATGCGTGGCACCCAAATTGCCTCTTTGATTGGTGGCAATTTGAAAACTGACTTGATCGCCAGTCCTCAAAGTGACATTACCTTCTACATCATCTTTGTTATAAGGCAGAAAGAAACACTCTCCACGATTTTCATAGCTTATTCTTCCTTGGCAATCGCCGCCAGAACCTTCGGTTCTTAATTCTGTTGTTACTACGCCTGTCACTCTTTCTTCACTTAAGACCTGGCGAAACATTAAATGGATTTTGTATTTAGAAAATCACAGACCGCCGATAAATTCATTACGTGTTTTTATTCTTACCACTTCGGGAGCAATTTTCGTGACAGTACTAGCGATAGGTTTTCCGGTTCGTCTATCGTACGTCATTTCGAATTCAACTGGATCGCCAATTTTAAGATGTTCTATGTTGCCACTGAATTGACTGAAATGAAAAAATAACCTAGCCTGACGTTCACAGCATTGGATAAATCCATAAGAATGCTGAAAGCAGTAAAGATAAATTATATACATAAATTAAAAATATAAACAAATTTAAAAAAAAAACTTCTTCACAAAATACAAACCAAAAGTTTTTCGATGATTCCGGTTTCCCTCACTCCTTGATTGTTTCCGAACGATTCGTTTGAAAAGTTGGAATTATTAGAACTGCTTGCAGTCGCAGCCGTATCATTACTGAAGATGTCATTACCTGCCGGAGGATAACGACTAATGGGAGCTGTATTGTCGGAAGAGAATACGTCAAAGTTTGAAGATTGCTGCAATCCATTGTTGAACATGTTGTTCAAAGGAGATTCTTTTTGTTGGAATTGCGAAGACTGGTATTGCGACGGCATAGGGAAGTTCTGACTCGACTGAGAGTTGTTATAGTTGGTGTGCGGCGGCGAGTGATTTGATGACCTCGACGTGAAATTGTTAGACAAGTTGGACAATGCCGAAAGTGTCTTGAAGTTCAGCATCGATGAAGAATCGCTGCCATTCAACATGGTAGATTGGAAAAGATTCCACTGCGAGTTGTTCGACATACTAGATTTAGCTTAAAAGTAACTATTTGTACACTTTTTATTTTGATGACAAGTAAATACAAACAAAAATTCCAATATAAAACTGGTAAGTTACTATCTATCTATCTCCTAACATAAATTTTATATAATATAATACATTATTACCAATAAAATCAATATCACAGTAATATTTTTAATATCTAAAAAAAATGTTTTAAAAAAGACACTTGACCAAGTCAAGGTACTTTTTTTTAAACTGGTTTTATGTTTGAACACAAATTATTATTATGGTCGTTACATAAATTTCTTCATAATAAACTTACGACGAAAACTTAAAAAAAAGGGGGTGAAATATAAGATTTCTAATCTAATTTAAAAAACTAATAATAATTGTTATAAAATAGACAGTTCTAAAGTATTCGGTTGGTTCATTACAAATGCACAGCACACGTTTCAATTAAATATTATTTAAACAATAAAGAAGATTTTTCAGTTGATAGTTGTCACAATGCTTGCTGGTAATGTTGAAGTAATGTTGATTTTGGTTAACTACTAACAGAAGAAGGAACGCGGTACAAATTTGAATATGTTTTTTTTTTGTTTTTTTATTTGGTGTGGTAAGACTAAAACTATTTTAGCCTAATTTTAAAAGCTGAAAATAAAAACAAAACAAAAAATGGATTAGTTTCAAGTAATAACTGTATGACATTGTATTTTTTGACGTAACATAGATATTAAACGCCCTACCAAAATGAGAACGCTATATTTTATTAGATGACTGACCAAATTTAAAGGAAAGGAACAATAAGGAACTGGATGAATAACTTTAAGAAAAGCAATATTTTTGATAAGAAATCGTACACAGTGTTTAATAATTTCGGAATAAAATGTTAGTACCTAACTGTAATGTAATTGTACATAATTCTCAAACAATACTATGTTACGATCCGATCGGCATGAAATTTAATTATTTATTCGAATAAACCGAAAAGCAATTTTAAGAATGTAATAAACTAAGCCATTGTTTCATCGATTATCAGATAACACACACTGTTACAGTCGCACACGATAGCCCGAACGATAGAAGAATGTAAAAACGACCAAATGCCGTAAGCATTGTACATTTCTACATATTAAATTTTTAAGCGAATTAAACCAACCTAGATAAAGCAATTCGAGTGGAAATCCGGAAAAGACAATGAAGAAGAAGACGAGTAGTCAACTATGTTCTGGCCTACTTAAATTATCACCCTTGCGCGTTTACAGTGGTCTTATCAGTAACGAAACTCGAGTTTATTATTATTTTGTTTACGGCGAAAAGCCCTGTCGATAGGTATTGTCTTCGGTGCGAAAACTATGCGGTTCGACGCGGATTTGGCGATATGGCGAAATATCGTCCAGACTCGCAACCAGGAAAAAGGAAGTGTCGTAGTGTGTCTGCGGCGGATGTTGACATTGTCAAGGGTACATATTACGGGTGAAAATCGTCAAAACGGACGCGCAAAACGTACGGCAAAGCCGAAAAACTCGAACAACAGCGGAAAAACATTCCGACGGGCCAATTAACGCGACTAATCATCGGCCAAATCCCATTTAAATTATAATAAAACAAATCGTACGATTTACTTACCACGGCACAGCAGAGCATTGATGACATGTTTTCGACATATTTTACCGTAGGTAGGCCAGCAGCCGCGCTAGTCAGTCGATCCGTCTGCACGACGAGTGGGTCGGTGACAGTGTTGCCAACACTGTTATTTGACAGAAAAACACAGTGTCAACGACATCTGTCCGCGGATAATGAAAGCAGTCAAAACTGCGGCGACGGTGAGGGGTGAGGTCACAACTCACGGGTATAGACTTATAGTGAAGTTAAATTACCGGTCATTTCGCTTTGTATTATTAAATAAATTCTAGTAATTAAAAAAGTTATAAATTATAATTTCACGTACGTTTTAAAATCACAAGCGGTCACAACGCATTCTATTTTTGCCCACAGATTTTGCCATGGATGAAAAAACGGGTTGATGTTTTAACTCCTGCCCGGTAGAATCTGAAATATAAAATTCTAAGAATATAATATTTCCTCTGAAACGCTTTGAGATTTTTTTTTTCATTCGAACAAGAAGTGACAAATAGATTGGAAAAAGGTAGTTGCAACTATTTTATAATTCATTCAGAAATGTGAATTGTTATGCTACACGAATATTATTTACATTTAACCGCGTAGGAATATATTTAAATAAATCTACATAAAATGTTCAAGTCCTATACTTTTTCGAGAAAAAAAAAAGTTTCCTGTGTTATGTGTAGTAAACTGAATCGTTAAAACGATTATAATCATTGCACGAGTTGTACATTAGGAACCAAAACAAAACCGAACTGATCCTATTTAAATGTATTTATTAAACGATCTGTCCAGTAATATATTTGCATACCAATCGTTTGCATTACACGTATAAAATGCGTACAGACAAGAGAATAAGACGCAGATGAATATTTGTAAATTGTTTGATAGATTATAAATTCAAAAAGATGTATAGTTACATAATTTACAACATATTCTATTACATTTATACAAACATTATTGTGATTTGTTCATTTTGCATAACCCTCGTCTTCCACATATTTTCAAGTTCAACATTCGCCAATTAGAATAAAACACAACAATAACAATTTCGCTTTCAGTTGTAATAATTTATAGACTTGTACCCATTGGCGCAATTTCAGGGGGTGCTAGACATAATCAATCACTTAAAACTTTAAATTAAAACAGTCCAAATAGCTTAAATTTTCAGATGTTCAAATTGTTTGTCCGGTCGATTTGCTTATATGATGTTTTTTTTTTAAATAAGCTAATCATAACCCTAGACACGGACAGGGGTGGGAAGCTTCAAACTTCTGCCCGTTAAAGGGTTAAATCGCTGATTTATAAATGCCAAACAAATAACAAATCAAGCCTTTAAAGGCATTATTATATTGGTAGTGTTATCATATTATTGTTATCTATTATCACTTATCATAATCACAACAAAAAAAACAATACCTATTATTATTATTTATTAAGCAATATTGTTCAATTAATGAACTTACGAAAAAATTATTAATTAACATTAATTTATCATTATTACTCAGCGAGCTTTAATTAGTGGTTTTTTTCTTTAATTTTATTAGATACTTCTTAACTCATTGAATATACCATTTATTAAAGCCATGACTCATCGTGTGCGTTTAAATTAGTCTAAACAAACTAATAATATAATAGTTCTTAATATTGTCATCATTGGCAATCATTGTCGTTCATTATCTCTGTTATACTATATAATGTGTAATAAACGTTTTTAAATAAGACGTACATGTATATTTCACATTTACGGTGAATAAGAATGGTATTCTATTATTCAAACGTACAGTTTTGTAATAAATATGAACTTTTTATCATTATGTGAGTACAGTGTATAAATAATTTAATTGTACAAGTACCTAGTTACAGCACAGGTTATATAGTATAAATCAAATTATTCTAAATATAATGTTTTATGCAAATATTTTTCTAGAATTTTGACCTTATCTTCATATCTTGAGTCTTGTTTCTATTTTAATTTTAAATCTCAATTTTTTCAGTTTCAAAAAAAGACAAAAATTGTCCAAAAGCTAAAACAAGTACAGCAAAATCATTGTTACTATTGACCAGTCAAGATTTAATTATGCAGGTAAGTTATCTACCGTAAGAATCATATATAACGTTAAAGACTAACTATAATTATAAACCGTTTAACATTTTTTCAGGAAAAATTAGAAAAATTAGAATTACAAAAGGTGCGTATTAACAATTTTTTTCTCCCGCCGTATTATCAATATAAATAATATTTAATTTAACTAATAATTTTAGGAATTAAAAAAAAAAAATTTACTAGAAGCAGAAAAGACTTTAAAAGAATATGAAGAAAACATGTTTCAAAATTATCGGGATAAACAGGATAATGATAAAGTATATTATTTACAAGTATTACTTGTTTACACTAAATACATTACATAAACTATAAACATATTTATGATGAAAATTTGTCAATAACAAATTAACGATTAATCTAAGTTGTACCTTGGGAAAAAAGAAATTTAAATACTAAAAAAATAATAGTTGATTAAATTTAAAGACACATTTGACAATGTTAAACAAATTTTACGCGTTTTATTTAAATGAAAATATGAAAAAAAAAATCTTCTATTTTGTATAGACAATAATTTTAAATTATCAAAATATTTCTTGAACAATGTTAACCTACATTTTGACAATATTAATTAATATTACATGTAAATTCGTTTAGCTAATTAATACTTTGTTACTGGATGAAGTTCGTACGCAACAAATAATATCTTCGGCTAGAAATGAACGTGAAAAGACACGAGAAAAACTACTATTTGATTTGATCAAAGGTACCTTTTATTTGTTGTTTACTATTTTAATACTATGTGGTTTATACATTAATTAATTAATTTATTAGAAATTCCATTTTGTTCTATACACATTCTGTTGAATGGATTAAATTAGCTTTTGCTAATTTAAAAATAGTTGTTATAAATTTAAATTCTAGCGTAAAAAAATTGTTTTTTTAAACCGATAATTGAGCAAGGAGTCACAGTATCTTTATTTAAAATTTAGTTTAAAAAAAAAACCTTGATTCATATTTTATAGTTTTATAAATTAAATAAAACTAATATTGTTTTATGTTTAGTTGAGATGTCAACAAGAAAACTAATTGATGACACTTTGAATTTCAATCAATCGTTCCAAATGGATTTTCACGAAAAATACAGCAATTGCGAGAAAATTGTAATACCCGACGACAGCTGTTATAGGAATCTTGAAAAAAAGTAAGATTTTCAAAGCTGAAAACAGTTGCTTGTAAATAGTGCCGACGCTAGGTTTTTGCAGGCCTGGACAATGCTTTATTATAACATGATTGTTTATAATAATTTACTGTACAGATATTTAGGTATACATATTTTTAAAAGTTGATAATATGTAGGTAAATTTCAAACCGAGTTCTTCATAAAAACGCTAAAATTTAAAAAAAAGAGGTGAAATTTCATAAAAAAAAGTAAAAAAATGACCACAGTTATCAAAATAATTGTGTGTAAAAGTAACAAAATGTTCAGTTTTTTCAACATAACTAGTTTTTACTGGTTTATGTATCATATCAGTACTCATGTAAATAATATTTATCGTATTGTGTAGAGATAATCTGGAATTTAGTTCGAAACTCGAACGCATTTTGGAAGAAACCGATTGTCAGCGATGCGTACGGTTCAATAAAGTGTCAGAAAAACATACTGCTGAAATGGAGACATTGACCAACATCCTCAACACCGGCAATTGTTACCGGCAAGTGTTGAAGGAACAGTTGAAATCCATGTACAATCAACTCAAGTATTTAACCGGTGCCGAATTACAAAAACAAGACTTACAAACTAATAAACATATGGTGTGTAGTAAAAAAAAAAACATTTATTCTTAAAACAGTTAGCTGTTATACTGCCATTTCGTTAACAATAGTTTTAATTTTTCAGACTGATATCTGTCAGGAACGATTAACGTTGGCACGACTGATTGTTGATTTGACCGACAAAAAGAAACAAAATCAAAAACGTTTGATTCAGATATTGGAGGCTCAAAACGTTGCAACCGTGTGTACCTAGTTGTTATAATCTTACATTTATATTATATTATTATTTAATTTATAGGTTTTATAATGTTAGTGTTTTGCCATTTAGGAGACGGCTTCAAAATGGTTATTTCAGTATTCCAGGCTCGTCGATCGCTTGCCGTCCGATTTAACATACTCCGATGAACGTATGAATCCAGCGTTGTTGCACAGAGTGTCTACGGCCGGCGGAAGTCATCTATTGTTGTTCGTTTTAGAAAATGCCTTACAACCGCCGTTGACAAAACAATATCTGACCGAGGTAATGTTTTTTTAATGATTTTAGTTTTATACATATGCATATATATATTTGTACAATAATGTACCGAGTTCATTTCAGATTGGTGTTCATAGTGTTAAGGATCAAGAATTGTTAATTAATATAATTAATAAACTCCCCGAGCCGTCTGCGCCGCCCGAATCCGAATTACCGCCAACAGCTCCGTTGATAGACGAACTCGAATGTATAGTTTGTATGGAAACGCCGGTAACTATAATAGTTTATTTATTTAAGCAAAAATGTCTCCATAATGCGTTCTGTCAAGTTTGATATTAAAAAAATAGCAGTAACAAATTAATATTATAGTAAATATAATTTATTTATTCATTCATTAAAACATAATTCAAACTTGTATTAAGAAAGTTTAAACCACATTAAAAAAATATTATTTGTGAAATTTTAAAACTAAAATGACTGTCAAGAAATCAAAGGTTTCTTTCGTATCCATCCCAGTTGATTGAAAAAAGTTAAAATTACTAAATTAAGTGATAGAACCAAGAAACGTTTTAATTGATTTTAGCTTCAATGCAGTTTCTTTCTATTGAAGCCATAAAATAATTTACTGTATTTATAGTGTAAACAAATATGTAATTATTAAGATTCTATGTTAGTTTTATTGGTCTGATTTCTATATTTTTCTACATTTAAAATGTATATTTAGACATGTTTGCAGGTCAAAGCAGTTTTTAATAAATAATTATTATTTGATTTGATTATTTTATTTTAGTTAATATTTCCATTTCTTACAAAAATTATTTATAGTTTTTTTTTTCAGTTTGATGTTATTTTTATTCCATGTGGACACCTATGTTGCTGTTGGAAATGTTCATCGAAATTACTGTTGTGTCCAATGTGCAGATCTGATATTTGCGATAAAATTCAAACAAAGAACTATTCTTAAACAGTTTAGTAGAACTTAGTATTACCATTACCAACAAGAAATTATATTGCAATATAAACATATTTGTAATAGTTTTTGTATTAACTACTTATTTTAAAAATATTTATCCCTTATAATTTTTATATCTTTATTATTATTGTATAATTTTTTTTTAATTGAAGTCTACGAGAAAGTCAATGGATCAACAACATGAGCAATAATGATAAAATAATATACGTAATCTTTATGTTTCAAAAAAAATATTATATTATACTTATTTTTATACTAAATAATACATGCTTGTTAATTATAAAAAAAAAAAAATGTTCATAATTCTAATTCCTCGTCGGCTGTATCCATTATATCGGTATCATCGGCATTTTTATTTGGAGTTTGTTTTTTAGTATCTTTTTTCTGTTGTTTATTTGATTTGAAGTCTAAAAAAAAGAAAACAAATTAAAGGTTAAGTTTCATAATAATATAGTGTTAGTGACATCATAAGAGTGAGATTGTATGTTTTCGCTACTTGACAAGAGTAAACTAATTATTTTTTATATGGTTTAATATAATATTCAAGCGGTTATTAATGATTAAGTTTAAACTTGGATATACTTTAAATTTCTAATTTAATATTTTTTTTTTCTGCTCAAATTGGTACAAATTTGTTAATCATTATAGTCTAACCTTGGTATGTATTTAAGCCATAAAACGCGGAATGTGGTCAATAATAGCAAATGACAAATGGTAATTTAAATGAAAAATCCAACCATTATAGCAGATTTGCTGTGATGCCTTTAAGACATAACATTAAGTAACAATATTGAACTTAATTGATATGAACATAACGAAATACCTGATTTCATAGCAATTTAGTTATTTATTTGTATTGCTTAATTAATTATTAGATAGGAATTAAGCAACAGATTTAGAAACTATTTACTAGTATCGCTTGAATGGGTTTCGAACTTAACGGTTACGGGTAAAATGAAATGTGTCACAATTTGGCTAATAAGTGAATTAATGGTATAAAACTAGTTTAGCACCTAAGTGATTTTTTTTTATTCAAACCAAATTATTACCTTCTAATATCTGTTGCAATGGCTCGATAAGGCAATCGAAATCTACTTGCGACAATGCTTCCAATACGTCTTGGGCACTAATCGTTTTCTTGTTACGGCTCGTCGCTATAGTGGTTGCTTGGTTGCTGACGTACAATATAAAAACCGATGCGGCTCGTGCCAACGCTGTTTTGGCTTCTTTCGAAACGATCACGTTGGACGGCAACACTTCCTTGACGATCCGAGTAATGGCCGTTACCGGTAAATTTAAATCTTCTAAGCGTTCAGCCATTATAAAATAAACTTCCTAACAGTAGCGCGTACTTAGCAATTAGGGAAAACGTTTTTATTTTGGCGGTTTGAAGGCGATAAACGCACTGCTAACGATTAAAAAACTATTTAATTTGTTTTATCTTTTACAACAAACAACAAGCACAACGAAGTACGAACCGATCAACTCGCATAGAACTTTCTTAATAAGACAAATGACAATATTAATAATAATAGTAATGTTATTTGTTAATACTTCATGTTATGCATTTTAGCGAGAGCCCGGGAAACTAGAGATAATAACATTTATGATAACAACTCAAACAAGTACTGCCAACTGATTTCCAGAGTGTTCAATACCAACCGCTCGACTAAATGAATATTATAACACAATATTAAAACATCGTTTACGATAATTAAAAAATCGGTTTAAAATTAAAATTTTTTTACCAGATAAATTTTTTATTAAGGTCTATGGTTCAGTTTTTGTGGATAATAACTGATAAATGAATTATAAAAACTTTATAAATAAATCACAGACCCGAAAGGAATGTGTAAAAGCCTAAAAAGGCAGAACATAGGTTAAATTTTTAGAATATACATTCTAGGGTTTATTTAATGCAGTATAATACATTTGTAAGTATGGTTTAACAAAAAAAAATGTATATCAAATATATTTTTGAACATAAAATAGCTCCGATTCACAAACTTTCTTCAGCTTCACCTGGGGAAGCTCATCGAATATCGGGTAAACTGGCAGCTGGCAACGTGAAGTTTTGAGAATATCACAAGACATTGGAAGTAGCCCCAGCAAAAGAACGGGTGAAAGAGGTGAACGTTGGTATATATTATGTAATATAAATTATGTTATATGGTTAACCCACGAACTAACATTCTAGTTATAGTATAGTATCTTAGATCGTGGTTTAACCAAACAAATAATTAAATAAGTACCCCTAAATTAATTTTTTTTTCATATTTTTCTGTCTATTTCAAATTTTATCCTGGACTATGGCAGGGTGTGCAGGAGTTAATAAAATAAAAATTAAATACAAGAAAATTAATGTTTTAAAAAATATATAGGTATATTAGGTTAGCTGTTTTTATATATGACATCCTCAAGACCGTATTGTTTATGCTGTCGAGTTTAGTGTACTAGTGTAATTCTCAACGGCATAATAATATAATAAGCGATCAAGTATAGATTCACTGCAGTAAATATAAAATACATATAATTTATTACTATTAATATTATTTGATCAAATAAAATAACAAAATCAAAATAATTAAATACTATTTTAGTAACACTATGGTGTCCAATAGAATAAATTATTTCTGTCGTGTTACTAACAGTGTAAATTTTAGTATTAGGAATTACAACTGAGAAGTAGTGTTTAGAGCCATGAAGAACGCCGATTAAATTATTCGTCACAAATTGAACTCATGGGATTTAATTAAACAATAAATTAATACGCCAAGCAGTTTAAGTATTGGTACGATACATAATTGAGACATACATAATGCGGTTTAATTGAGAAAAGTGGTAACCGTACATCCATAAAATTTATATTTATTTAATAATAACAACTATTTGGCTTCGTTGTAAAACGACAGTCTTTGCACATGTAATTCTCGTTGCAATAACGGTATCACAAATATAGTAACGCCGGACACTAGATAAAATGTCAAATACTTGTACGTATTGTCTAACACGGCAATGTGTCTGTTCAAATTGCTGTCTGTTACCGTTACACCACATTTTGTTAACAACACATCGACGACGACAAATACATACTTGACAATCAGAAAAGACACTGCTATGCAAGCGTAACCCAATCCGCTTCGGATCACAATCATCCCTATATTTAGAAACAAAGGCATACATTAATTTGAAACTACAGTAAAAAAAAAATTACTTATTTTAAAAAATGTACAATATTCTTTAATACTGTACGTTTTTACATATACTATAATATTGTAGGATTTAACTTTTACGGTATAATAAATTGAGTAATTTAAATAATTTTATTACAAATATATCAATTGAATACTATAAACACATAACTAGTATTTGTAATAATACATTATCAAGAGGACGTCATGCACCCAATTTTCACCCAAGTTTTTACTTCTAACTTTAAAAGGAAGTTTGATTGCTAAAATCTGACTTTACCGACGTTTTCAGTGTAAAAAAACTAATATTTCCAAAAAAATTTTGTTTAAAAAACTCAACCGAGACTTAAACTGTATATATGCCCTAATAATTTCACGCTTGTCCAGTCCTTTAAAAAGTAAGTGGCTACAGGCACGTGTTAACTTCAAAATTAAGGGGCCAACATTTTTAGTGGCTCATTTTTTATATATTTTGAACTGATTTAGGGAGCGTCCCAGTTGAAAACCAACCAAAGCCATTTTAAGGATCATTCTAATATATATATACATATATATATATATATATATATATATATATATATATATATAGTCAACAGTTTGGAAAATGTTTACATAAAAATTGCTTTAGACAGTGTTAAGTTGAAGAATTTTCCCTTTTTTTCACAAAGAAAATTCACTTAAAAAAAAATAACAAATATAATAACATGAAATAAATTACCAAAGAAATTCCAGAGAAAAACCAAGTATAAAACATTTTTTCAGTCAATTGGGTTGTCACATGGGTTATGAATTATAATTATGTCTTATTGTTAGATTATTATCAGTACTAATGGGAGAATATAAAAATGTTATATACTATAGTCTATAATAAATACCAAATATCAATATTTTAGATTTAAAGTGAATACGTCCTTGACCAAAGTGTTAATAAACATAAATGATCAACAAAAGCCAATAAACTGCTATTAAATAATAAATTTCTCAACGATAGGTATATTAAGGCAGTACACATGTTATGATTATTACTCGACACAATTTACACTGCAAATATTACCTATATCTTTGAGCGAAGGCCAGTCAACATGGTTATTGGTTGGATTTAAAGCTCGGTATTCGTTTTGAATACCTAACGTCACTAGAAGCCAACCTCCAGTTAAAATACCCGCACAAGTACCCAAAATCAGGCTAGTGTCTCCTCTGAAAAAAATAAAAATCTACAACTTAGATTACACTCTTTGAAAGAATAAAAATTTTTTTATACACAAATAAAATTAAAAAAAAAATTTTTCTGTTTAAGTAACGTGTTAATAGTGGTACAGCATAAACAAATTACTTAGTAGGTGTCCACTGGTCGCCGGTCGGGTAAACGAGAATAAGTAACACAGTAGTCGTAAGCAAAACAAGTGGGGTCCACTTAAAATACATAAGAAAACGATCGAGAATATCCGCAATAGGTACGAATGGAATTAGCAAAACAGTTGCTAATAACAGACCAGCGATAATGTCCTAAAAGAAAAAAACTTACATAATAATAATACATTATTAAATACACGCTTGTAAATACGTATTTTATTTTATGAATAATGTCAAACCTTAGTTTTATAGACAACATACTCACCAAGACCGTATGCATGCCCAAGTATAAACGACTAAGCGTGATTAAAACGCACCACACCAGTGCTAATCCTATCGCAATTGTGTAATCAATCTGCGATAAAAAAAATTATAAAAATAAATTTTAAAGTAGAAAAGTTAAAAATGATATGAAAAACAATTCAGTTATACTTGATATCTATTGGAAATGTAATGTAGAACAGAAAAGGGCAATGCAATGCTAATCATCGCATGAGTCGAAGGCATGCCGTATTCTACTGACCATTTTTTCTGTAATCTCACGACTGGCGGACAAGCTGGTCGCGGCCATTGAATAATATCTTTTATTGATTGACCTACATAATAAACATATACATTATCATTTTATCATACGACATACAATTTAATAGAAATATTCAACATTAAAATCCCATAACATACCAATATACATAACGATGGCCCAAACGAGCACCATTTTTCGTCCAATCGCCGAGTCTATGTTCCATATGAAAAACGGTATGATAATCGAATATCCAATTTCGTCGCCGAGGTACGTGCCCAGGAAAAACAGGTAGAACCAAAATTTATTGGTAATCCGGTGATCGCCGTCGTCTCTTTTGAGTACGACACTACCGTTGGTTTTCCATTCGCCGTTTTCGGCCGGCGTAAATACAACGCTCTCTTCTTGTTGGTTGCCTAAACGGACCACTCCGAAGAATCGCTGAAAGCGTGCTACCAGTGCCGGGTCTTTTAGATAATTTATACATTTTTTGATATTGCCCATGTCTTTCACTGACCAATCATCTACCTACGCGTTTGTAATACAATCTAGATATTAATATTAAGAAAAAAAAAATCAGACTAACGCGAATGCAATAAAAACAAAAAAAAAATGAAATAAAGAGTATCACAGTTAACGAATTTTTAGTCGTAAAAAAAAACTTAAATAAAACTCGACATAACTATTAAATAAATAAATCTAAAACGGACTGTCACAACGATTAATTTATGCAAATCACATTCTTCTCTTATTTATTCATGAACATTACGAGAATTCCATTGCACTAGCCGAACGGTAATCGTTGGTTTTCTCATTCAAAACAATATTCTAAGTGATAACCGACAAATAATGATAACGCTTATCAACCCTATTACAAAAAAGTACCATAGTGAATTGTAGTTAAGGAAGGGGCGACATCATTTTTTAACCGATGCTATAATAATAATATTTATGATCGTTATTATCGCTTCGAGCTATAATAAAAAAAATGTATTTATTTATCATAATGTTGAGTAACACGACGGATAAGATAAACATAAGAATACTTACGATGAAATAAAAAAAAATTATCTACAAACCATTGTTAATATATTTAACTAACTAGCCATAATAATGTTTACGATGGTATAAAATTATAACTATTATAATTCGCTGAAATGTCATGTTATCCTACTTTGGCCTTTTAAATCCAGTGTCTATGTTATTATACTTAAATGTCACAAATAAATGGAATATTATTACTTACTAATTACAATGCAGTGAAATAATTTTTAAATATACATAAATCATAATACATCAACACCTACCGTAATATTGATTTGCATTTAATTTTTTATAACTATGAAAATAATGTCAGAAAACTATTTGAAAAAAAAAAACAAGAACAGTCCAAATTAATCCCAGTTGGCATGCTAATATGAACTTGGTATGCTAAAATTACGATTTTACAGTTGAAATGTAAAATTCTACTATTCTACTATATAAATCTATAAAGCATTATTAATTTATCATATCCTTTTCCTCCTAATAAAAAAAAAAAATTATTAAAAACATGTAAACAACCGGTCATTATATCGTTATTGTTAAAATAAAATAAAATATATACTTGAAGGTCGGTCAACCTTATGCGTTTCACCTTCCAGACTCGTTTAAAATAATATTCTTAACTCAACTCTAATTATTATTAAACTCATTATTTAGCCAGAGTTGGACGTCATTCAAATAATAATTTCATTGCTAAGTATAAATAATATCTTATTGCTAAAGAATTATTTTAATATTCATCATTACTAGGTATTTGATTAATTAATTAACAATTGGTTTTTCATTATTAATTCGAATATTATGCATTGTTCGTTGTTTTTTATTTGTTAGTTTTAACTTATTTGAAGGATTTTACATATTTTTATTTATAGACGACGAATAAATATACAAATTCGTTATAATTTATCTGAAGCGCTGGCTTCCTTATTTAAATATATGTAAATATAAAAAATGTATTGTATTATTTTGTATCTTATAGTGTGCTATTATGTGCTGTAACGTGTAATCACAAAAGCAATTTAATAAATAAAATAAAAATTAGCTATAATAAAAATTATATACATATAATAGTAAAAAAAGACTGTAAATAATGTACTTAGGAAATAGAAATGTTTTTAATTTTAATTCGTTACACTAGAAAATAGGTACCTATTAACAAATACAACAAAAGATAATGTCAAAACCGTAACGACATGTACATATACAACATAAATTATATTAAATTAATAACAAAATCTATAAGTATCAACATCAAATATAAAGTATGAATTACCGCGAGATGAACAAATAATAGTTTTATATATCTAGTATGTATACTGTAAAACTAGCAGTAAACAGACGACAAAAAATAATTAAAAAACATAAATCAGCATTTCCAAACACAAAATTAGGAATTTTGGATTTTCAGATTTTGAAATTCAGATTTATGTAACATTACTAGTAGGTATAAATATGTAAAAGTATAACAAAGTTGGTTCGATCTAAGCTGAACGTCTAGATTTTACTATAAGAGGCTCCAAAATAGGTGGAATTACATTCTTTTGAAGCCTCAATATCCGAGATAAATTCCATTGACTAAAATATAATAATAGATTTTTTTTAAATTAGGTAATATAAATATAGGTGAAAATTAATTAATATATTTGTTTTGGAAAAAATGTTTGCATTTTCGTTCATTAAACTTGTTAGTTATTGTTATGATTTGTGGCATATAAAACGATTCTCTCACGAAACGTTCATTTTTGGATACAACACTTAATTATTTATTACCCATTTTTCTTTTGTACAATAAAATTAAGTACGACTTAAACTATTTACCGAAACTAAAGTAAATATTAAATAATGAAAAAGATGTGGTAAGAAGCCTTAAGGGGATTGAAAGCGGTTGGGTTTTTTGACGTTTTAGACCAAAAAGCCTGGTAAATTTTCACCTAACTAAGATGGTCCGATTTCAATTCTGTAAAAATAATAGTGTCTCTATAAAACTCCTTTCAAACCGGCCGCTTCCAATCCTCTTAACTAAGCACACTATTCTTTTATGTAGCTATATTGCCTACACTCGGCCCCGTTTTAATACCAGACGCATGTTTTGTAGATCTCAAATAATATACAAAAACAAATACTTAAATGTAACCGTATATTTTAATTTTAACATGAAAAATGTCTGCTACTGAAACTTTTATAAATTCTTAACGTTGTTGACTTTTTTACATGGGGACAACGGCAACAAATTATTATGATAGACATACGATCAACGTACGCGGTAATCGGATCTAATCTAATACTAAAAATACAATTTTAAGTACTCAATTGTCATTAAAATGAAACCTATTGTACTGGTTTTTTTGTTTATATATTTTTTATGTATGAAACACTTACGACCAGGTGGCATGCAAACAACTCCCTAGTACAATATAGTAACGCAATCGGAAAGCGCCGAGATAGAGCGCCTTTAGACATTAAGGCTCTTTTTATAGAAATGACGTTGAAGTATTCTCGAAAAATGTTAAGAAGCGTATTCGTTTTGTTGATAGCCTCTTTATTCGGGGTAAATCCAAATAGAGTACCACAATGGGAACTGATGACTTATTCAACGCTCTTTTTTTTTTTTTTTTAACGCCGTGGAAAACAGGACCGATTTATTTAGGTGCAATACCATGATTTGTACTATATAGGCATGCGTCTTGTGATACGTTTCATTGTGTCGTTAATTTCGACATAATATTGGGAACAAATTGTTATAGACAGACCAGCAACCCTAATCGTTGACTACCGCAGTACAAATTTTTATGTTTTTTAACATTATCGTTACAGTAGTGCGCAGAAAACCTATTGGATTTTTATATTTAGGTTTCGTCCGCATAAAATATTATAACCACTAAACAATTTCAAATGCGCGGTGATTCTTTTTTTTTTTTTGTTCACACGATGAAACTGATGACACTATTTTTAAAGAGTAGTGCATTACACACTCCACTTAAGATGTCTGATCGTACTTGCACATTATAATGACGGTGAGATTGAAGTGCAACTATTTTTTTTCGCACAACCATAAGCATCGCACTAATGGCGAACGCGTACAACTGACTTCTCAATTATTATTTTTGTTTTGTTTTGTTTTAGAAGTTTTACAGCCATATAATATAACAATAGCGACGCATGTAAATATGAGTACTATACCTCTCAAGTAGAGAACTCTCTCGTATACCGTGGAGCCGCATTGTTAACGAGGATTGTAATATTAGCCAATAGCCTGGCAGAATTTCTTTTTTATATTCTTCTCATACATATATGTACAATTAAATGTTAATCACCAGTAAAATATTGCAATTTTACTTGATTATATTTTCATTTGAAGCGAAAATCGATTCCCACTGTGCAAAATCAACTGTATTCAAACATCTAGATTCTAGAAATCACTCATGTAAGTATTATAATGATTATATTACAGTCAAAGACGAACTGTAACTTGATAATTTTTTTTCAGTTGAATAGTTTTTTTTTTGTAATCCTTTGAGTACAAAAAATATTCGAATACGCTTTCCCCGCTCTTATTACAATTAATGAAGTGTATTTCCACACTGATCTTCATACTTGGTAGCGTAATATAATTTGTTATGTTACTCATGTTACACATTTTCACACCGAATGTTGTAACATTGACAAAACTTGCTAAATTCTTAACTGGCTAAATATGTGTACAACACAGCTATAATCAAATTGTGGTATTTAAATTTTTCGTTTTGTCGTAATCTGAAATGATTTTATTTTATCACTCGTTTTTTTTTGTCATTTAATCATATTATTATGACATAATAATATTCCAAATATATTTTTTTTAATTAACTAACAAAAAAAAACAATAACGTTTAAAAATAAAATAAAGAGTTACTATCAATTCCTTGTATTCATAATCAATTTAATAGGTTGTGAATGGCGCGTGTGCGTTGTCGAGGTAAAATATTTTATCCTAACTAATTATTGAATAATAAATTTAATTAAAAAAATTAATATCATAAAAGAAATTCGTGATATTTCTTTGAACTTAAATTGTTAAACAGAAAATTAGCCATAATTTAGTAATTCAATTCATCGATGTTGCAAAACGATACTTTTACAACAACAAAATTGTTATAAGTGCAACAATCTATCGACATAATAATTTTAAACCAAAATAAATCTGTCCTGTTTTCCACTGAGTTGAAACAAAACCAATGCGCTCCTTAACATTTTTTAATAATACTTTAACGTCTTTTTTAAAACGATTTAATGTCTAAAGGCTTTATCTCGGCCCTTTCATAATGCGTTACTATAACTGTGTTATCTTTATTGTGTGTCAAATTGGAAAATTATTTGCATATTTTTTTTATTAGTTGGTTAACTAAAATAAGTTGTTTAAAAGTAAGTTTTTCAGTTTTTCATTAAAATGGTATGGATCTCATATTGCCATATTGGTTAAAATGATTATTAATTCCTTATATTTAATTTGTTCAATATTCATACGATTTTAAAGTTTTTTTTTGTCAGTTGATCTTGAAAATGCTCAAATATCTTATTTTAGATAAAAACGTTATTTTTCTCATATTTTAATTATTCAAGTTTAAATAAACAAGATATCGGCATGATGTAATAGGTCGGCTTTTTCCAGTACAAGGTTAAAATGTTTTCATTATATATTATATTAATAGATAACACATAATAGACATATCTTATGGATTTCAAATACTCATTTCATCAGACTAATGCGATTTAATGTAGACAAATTACATTAT